TAAACCGCAGTAAACTAAATAGAAATTGTAATTATAGTGAACAGTGCTTGTCCAAAAAATCAATATGGAAATGGGTGATGGTTTGTATTAAATATACTGTCCTGTACCTAGAACTAGCAGTCCCTAGTTGTGAATCCAGCTTCCTACCTTCTGTAATCAGCTTTAACAGTTTTCAAGTCGTCAAAATTCGCTTACCATTCCATCAGGTCTTAAAGTCCTTGTCGCTATTTTATGACCGAGTCCTTTCCCTCGCAGATACACACCCTCCCAGTGCCAGCCAGTGCATTTTTTCCTCTCGATTTTCTATCCGGCAGCTGGCGGAAATTGTGAGGAAATGAAAATGGTTTAACTTTTCTTTCTTCTGGCGTGTGTTCTGGTTTCTCCTTCTATTTGACCCCCCAGAGTCTCCTCCTTAGATGCTTCTCCATCCAAATCCTTGACTGATGGTCGGAAAATAAGGGGCTAGACATCTCTTCAGTCTCCCATTACTTGAGCCGGGCTATTTATATATTTTTTTTAATAGCTCTGTAGTTTTCAGTTGTTTGTGCAATTGCGTTTCGTTTGCTTGGACGGCGGTGCGTTGAGTGAACCACCTTGACCCACTCTAATTGCAACGTCTAATACCGTCTGACAACAACAATCGGCCAACAGAATTGGCTTTTTACTTTTCGCATTTTTTTTTTGTATTTATTTGGTCCGTCAGCCAATCAGCAAAAAAAACACTTAAACGCTCAATTGGATATCGAGAGTCGAGCGATTTTTCGATTAAATTTTCATCGTGGGGCTGGGCTTTCTGACTGCTGTCGGAGTTGTCGAAACCTTTATTAGTTTTAAATATTTATATTTGTTCCGCCCGGCCGCGGGGCAAGTTGAATATTAATGAAGTTAATTGAAAAAGTTTGCTAACCAACCGCGGGGATAACAAAAACAATGAGTACTCGCTGGCACAATATCCTGCCAGGCATTCCCGCGCAGCAGCCAAAAATTAATTTTCCAAATTAGGCCAAATAAAATGTTGCGGCCCAGAAGAAGCCAGAAGAAAAGTGCTTTCCACAAAATGCCGCCCTCCGAAAATATTATTCCACCCACCAAGCACCGTGTCTCAATATGCAATTTACATAATTACGCATATTTCGAGCAAAACTTATAAATATTTATGTGCATGCTACGAATATTATGTTGTTTGCTGGTGATTTTTGGGAAAAATAAAAGTGTATTTTGAACAAGTATGAACGGCTGTAATGAAGCATAGCCTATAAAATGTATGATACCCGGCACTTTTCTTTCCAATTTCACGCTCTTTTATTTTTTTTTTTTTATAAATGTTTCATATTTTTGGGTGATTGGGCGGAAACAATCCAGGACGAGATCCCTAAAAAAAATTTCAGATTTCTCTAAAATTTTTTTATAGGTATAATTTCCGGCCTTTGAAATAGTACATATAGTATGTAAAAATTAAATTAATCCCAAAGTTCACTTTTTAAAAAAAAATTATTAAAAAAAATTATTAAAAAATTAAAAAAAAACTTTTTTATTATTTCTTATTTGTTTCACAAATTTTATTTAAACGCTTAAGGCTAGACCCATTGTAGGTGAAAGGCTTGCTCCCGGAATAAGACTGCCAATTTTTAATTGCCAGATAACCAACAAACCTCGGCTTAAGAGAAATAACCCAAAAGGGTGCTTAGAGAGAATAAATAATCGCCCTAAGAGATTCCAAGAAAAAGGGACGAGTGAAGAGTGATGAGATCGGAAGATCGATCTGGCTCTAATGTCTAAAGTTTGGGCCAAGGAAAATTTATGGGAATGTTTACAAGAAGAGCTTGACGTTTAGTCTGGATCAGAGGTCGGCACGGCCTTATCTCGGGGGCATAGGAAATTTCTCTGCCCGAGCTCTGCCACACACACACAGTATACATGTGTGAAACGTCATGCTCACAGCCTACTTTCTGCTATTCGTTACTAACACTAATGCGGTAAAATCATATCAATGTATTGGGGTGCCGACCACTGGTCTGGATAATATCTTTTGGGAATCCTCAAAAACGAGTGAGGGGAAATTAGGAGACAAGATAAGAAATGGCATGACGCATTCAGCAGGGGCTACTGCGTTTTGCAAATAATGTTTACATTGCCTATTTGGTGAGGCAATTTATGAGTTGGATAACATACATACATAAATATCTCATTTTTGAGAAAAGTTTGAATCAAATTTTAAGTGCGAGGATCTAAAAATGATGCAATTTTTAAAAACAAAATAAAGCATACTTAATATTTTATGAGTAATTAGCACAACTTTTAATAAAATAATTTAATTTAATACATCAGAATTGGTTTCGTCTTTTAATATGATCCCAATAATAAAAAAAAAAAAATTGTTTAAAAAAATAATAATAAGTTTTCAAAATGAAAGGTTCAACCTTTCATTTGAATTAGAGAAAAGTTTGAATCAAATTTTAAGTGCGAGGATATAAAAATGATGCAATTTTTAAAAGCAAAATAAAGCATACTTAATATTTTATGAGTAATGAGCACAACTTATAATAAAATAATTTAATTTAATACATCAGAATTGGTTTCGTCTTTTAATATGATCCCAATGATAAAAAAAAAAATTGTTTAAAAAAATAATAATAAGTTTTCAAAATGAAAGGTTCAACCTTTCATTTGAATTTGAGAAAAGTTTGAATCAAATTTTAAGTGCGAGGATATAAAAATGATGCAATTTTTAAAAGCAAAATAAAGCATACTTAATATTTTATGAGTAATGAGCACAACCTATAATAAAATAATTTAATTTAATACATCAGAATTGGTTTCGTCTTTTAATATGATCCCAATGATAAAAAAAAAAAATTGTTTAAAAAAATAATAATAAGTTTTCAAAATGAAAGGTTCAACCTTTCATTTGAATTTGAGAATAGTTTGAATCAAATTTTAAGTGCGAGGATCTAAAAATGATGCAATTTTTAAAAGCAAAATAAAGCATACTTAATATTTTATGAGTAATGAGCACAACTTATAATAAAATAATTTAATTTAATACATCAGAATTGGTTTCGTCTTTTAATATGATCCCAATGATAAAAAAAAAAAATTGTTTAAAAAAATAATAATAAGTTTTCAAAATGAAAGGTTCAACCGGGAAAAAATGTACTTTTAATTATAGGCTGCCAGAATTAAAAAAAAAATAATGACCAATTCATTTATAGTTATAATTAATAACTGTTATTTGTATTTTTGTGGAGACAGACTGGCGCTCTATAGAATAAGGCTCCAGAATAAATATACATATATGCATTAGGTTCAGGGTATAAAATAATATAAGAAAAGTATTAGCCCCTTTCTTCAAGCCATTTCTAGTCAAAAATAAAATTTTTTAAAAATATTAAAATCAGAAAAGCAGAGGCCTCAATTATAATCGCAGATTTAGGGACCACAGCACAACAGATATTAAAAAAAAAATTAAAATCAATATATATAATGGAAGAATGGTACAAAAACATCTTATCACATCCCATATTTTTTGGTTTGTTTCAAGTCTAATGATAATATATATAAATTATAATGATATTAAAATATAAAATTAAATAAAAATCAAAATAAAAAAATAAATTTGGAGAAGCCAGTCCGATGGGGTCTAGAATCAGACTGACCTAGTAGTGCTGGCCCGAACTCTTCTTATATACAAACCCAATGTGTTTCAGTGTTGACTAACTATCAAAAAAATAAACTTTAAGGATTTCTAGGGTTTCCACAAAAGCTAGGGCTCCCAGGTAGTTGTTTGTGTATTATCTGTTAAATATTGAAAGTCTTTCTCCTGTCGTTGAAATCATAAGACCTGCAGAGGTTTTTTTAAAAATAATTTTAACTTATTAACTAGGTCTAAAATATGAATATTAGGAGAGACCGCTGATTTTGGGTATAAAGACTTGGTCTTTAGTTGCAAGGTTTATAATGACAGATTTTAGAATAAAGCCGTGTTAACCCTAGCATAGCCTTAGCATAGTTTTTTTTAGAATATTTACTAAGTATTCTCATGATATGAAAGCTTTTTAAATTTCCAATTATATGAAAATTGGTTTCTAAACTCTAATGATTTCTGCAAAATATTTTCAAAATCTTTACTTTTTAACATAAATTCTTGCAGTGAATCATAAAAGTTTTGTCTTGGTTATCTATTAAAAAGTAGTTTACAATCACGTTATAGAATGCATCACTCTGTGACCTCATACACCCCTAGGTACCATCAAATATATGGTAACAAAAAGACAATGCCAACGAAATGGATTTCTATAAAATATCAAAACTTGAGAGAATAACCCGTATATTAAATTGCAAACATTTTTAACATGAATCTCACGTATGTCGTTTTCGACGAACGACCCGGCCAGACCAAAATCTGAAAACTGAAATTGTGCAATGTTGAATCATGACGATGGATGACGATGTCAGGTAGTGGCAGGCAACAACCACACCACCCGACATCGTGCAACAACCATCTACTATGTGTATGTGTGTTTACGAACAACGCCATCAGCTGCGGTGACAACAATGACAACAACGAATCGCTGATGGCGATGGATTGGCGGTGATTCCGCGGGGCGGTGATTCCGCGGGGCGGTAATTGCCAACTAAATGACCGACAGGCGGCAGGTGACCGCCGGGTGCCAGGGTCTAACCCAGTCTACCTCTCGCTGAACCTTTGGACACATTTCGGGTGTTATATTGCACCGCATGCGGTGCAGGGAATTTCGAGGGGAGTCCATAATCGCGCTTTCAAAGTGTATATTTTGTAATCACTTTTTGTCGGAAATATTTAGCAATATTTCAGTAATTTCATGTTTCTATAGAAATTTTGTTTTATTTTGTAGGAACATGAGAGAGTTTGAGGCTTTGATTACATTATACAATTATTAACATATGGGTTTTGGCTATATGATACCCCCTACCACTCTTAATTAAATATTAATACCAATTTTTTTTAATATTATTTACAGCACAAATATGTCGAGCGATTCGAGTCGAAGGATCCAGGTGCCAGATGAGCTAAAGGAGGTCCTGTTGCAGTTTTCGATCGCCTTTCTGGTCGAACAGCCACCGGATGTGATCGACTATGCCGTCGAATATTTCACCAAACTGCAAGCCGACCGTCCCACGGTGATCACGGACCAGAGTACCGATGACCAGGCTAGCGTCAACTCACAGGATGCCGATGGTGAGTGGCTTTCAGAGTCCGGGGGCTATCCAAGAAATTGCGATTGCGTGTCCTGTCATCTTTTTGTTCTTCTGGCCAAGTAGTTTGCATTTTCTAGCTGCTGCGTGTTGTAAAATTCTTGCTAGAGTTATTTATAGTTTTCCCATATTTTTTCGCCTTTTATTTCTTTTATGGGCTTTTGCGTTATTTCCGTCATGCAATTTGCTGTAAACTTTGGCAAACCTCTGACGTCAGCAGTGTCAGTTTTTGGGAAAGAAAATCTGCTCGTGAATTCCCCCGACATCCGACAGTTCGGTTCTGACCAGAAGCTATGAGCCAAATCAAGATTTATTTTGTCTTTCACTGTTTTTGGCCAAAAATTGAAAAGTTTGTGGCAAGACACGGGGTGATGGGGCAACTGTTGTTGGCCCTTCTCTCTGTTTGGGTGTTTGGCACGTGTTCAGATAATTAGCCCGGCCACCACGCATATGGCCATAAATCTTTGGCGCCCATCGCACCACGAGCATACAAAATACCAAATTAAATAATGATGGTGATGAAGCTTCAGCCGAGTTCAATTTGTTTCCAGCTCCATCGCATCACCCCTCTCTCTCACATCTGGCATGCCGTCTCTGTCTCTGCTGCTGGGGCCTTTGTTCACAGCTTCCTTTTGCGTGTTTATCTTCCGGTTAATCAAACACGCAGCCCTCGAGGGATGCCATGTCAAGTGGTTGGAGAGAGACGCACTGAGATTGCCCGAAAGAGACGGGTGTAAAATACAAAATGAGAGCAAGAGGGGGTGGTGGGGGTAGAGAGGTGAAATGGGGCAAACTGGTCCTGTCATTAAAAATCTATTAATTGTGCACACAGCAGCCCCAGAGGAGGGCTCAGCCAACATGACTGCAGCTGGCAATCCTTCCGCTGCTCCATAGTTTATGGATTTTGTGTACAGTTTTCATTCCATACAGCCGACAAACAAAAGGCTTTCATTATTAATATGGGATTGGTAATTTAAAGGAGATCAGATGGCTTTGATATACAATTTGTTATATGAGAATTTTAATTAGTTAAGAAATAGGATAATACTTGAGGACATACATGGGACCATTTCACAATCTTCCATATTTCGTTTTGAAACTAAAACTGAATTGAAATACCAATTTTTTATAACATTTTTTTTATATACTTATTTAAGATAAAATTTAAAAAAACATATTCTTGTCTTTGATTCTTTTTCTCAGAGACTCACTAGAGAAACCCAACATTTTTGGTTGTCAGACATTATGTTTGCAAAGGCCTTAATTTTTAATATTTTAAACATATAGAATATAATATATATTCCTTTAGTTTCGAGAATAAACAACATTTCCTTATTTAATCGTGTGAAATAATGGATTTTAGTTTAGTTATGATAAGTTATAGGGCACAGTAAAATGTATACGCTACATGGGTATGTAAATCTATTTTTTTAAAGAATAACATTTTCTCAAAAACCATAAACTCAAAGGGCTTAGATCTAATAATCTTATCCATCAATGTTTATAAATCATAACCAGTTTCTTACTAAAATCACAAAATATAAACCTCTCTATAAAGATTGTTAGAATCAAAACTGTACTCCTTTAAATTTATCCTTCTGTAGTTGTTGTCTGGCCTGGCATTTTATTGGATTTGTCTCACTATTTTAATCCCGGCGGGATCCTGTGATGGCCAGCCCGGATGGCCAGAAAAGGCTTCGGGCCGGGAAGCCTCCACTGGAGCGAAAGTGTCACGCAAATAGCCACTGGCCCCGCCTTCGGCCATGCCTGGCCCCGCCTTCTAGCTCCCACCGCCTGCCACACTTTTTAGACTCCCGACCGCGTTTCATCGATCGGTGTCTGTATTTTTGTGCTTTGATGTCTATTTGTGGCTATATAGAAAAACCTTGCCGCGCCACAAAGTCCTTGCTTAAATCAGAGAGAGAGCTTTAAAGTGCCACGAAAGTGCCAAGTGCGAGGACCGTGCCACGAATATTGCGTATACGCAGCGTGGGCCCAACAACGTGGCTTAATAGGGGACCCTTTATTTTTTCTGCTTCCAACTAAAAGGTGTACTACGGTATGCCCTGCTGACCAAACAAGGTACATTTTATTAACGCTCATATTGGCCACAGAGTCATCCAGCCAACGGAGGGTCGGGAGCGGGAGGCGAGGGCTTGGCAGGACCACTTGGTCCACTGGAGCATACTGATGAACAGCTCAGCAGCCGCATTCGCTTCATCGGGCACACAGGGCGCATGACACGCCGCCGGGAGGGGGCGCTACCATAGGCGGGGGAGTGGTGGCATGGCAGGCGGGGCGGACGGTGAGCTACATTTCAACATTATTGACATGCCAGCGGCGATTGTGGAAGGACTCTAGGCCCAGGCCCAGGACCAGGACCAGGCTCTGGCAAACCTGAACGGAAATACTTGTCGCTCCAGCCAGCTGTCTCTTATTTTTTTTTTATATTCATCTCCCATCTCCCTCTCACTTGTAGGGTCCTGTCGACGTCTGTCTCATCCTCCTGTTGCGCTTAATAATAATGTGTATATGAATGCTTATGTGAGAAGCTGAGGGAATGCTCATGTTAATCAAGACAAAGCAAAGTGGGGGGCTATTTATAATCGCACTGAGCATAAAAAGTGGGTGTTGGTAGAATTTTAATAAATGGTATTACACAAGAACATAAATCTTAGGGACGTAGGGATGGTCCCTTCCAGTTTCCTCGAAAGTTGTTATAACTGAGATACTAAAAATCACAGGTATTACTACTATACTACTATTCTACTATACTAGTATTATTATCCAAACTAAGTATTTTTTTTCAAACTTAAGAAGACTAAATTCTGTTTAGTCCTTGTATGCCCTTGTATGTTTTAGAATCAAATATTTAACGAGTTTTTGGGATAAACTGTTTAGAACTTAATTTAAACATAAATTTAATAAATTTCTGGAATATGATTGAAATAAGTTACTTTGACCTTTTTTAATTTTTCAAAGTTTATTTTTCGAAAAATTTTTTATTTTATTGACAAAATTATATCAACAAAAACACGATTTTGATCCAAAAAAAAGCATATTAAAATTTGTTAAAATACAATACTAAGAAAGAAACCAATAAGAGAAATATATTTTTAAGTTCTATAAACTAACTAATAAATGAAAGAAAAAATATCTTCATTTTGTTAGAAATTAGGGGATTCAACAGTACATATAAATGTAAATATCAAAGGTTCTAGACAAAAATATGGGATATTGAATCAAAATCATAAATATTTTATTCTTTGGTTTACCTAAACCAAACCTATATTTGGTTGACTACTCCCCCTTTTAAAGGTCTAAGCAATGGTTCTATTTGAACCGATATTACCCCCTATTTTTGTTAACTGTACAATGAACAGGGTTCTGCCGACAGACAACTCGACTTTCACCCATACAGAGGCTATTCCGTATAAATAGACAGCCGACATTCAGTGGTCCGCTTGAGTGGCGTGTTCTGCTGCCTACTTACAGGCACTATTTCCGCCTTGGTTTGACGTTTGGCTGTCAACGGCGGGCGACTCCAGAGCCTGTTTTACTGGTGGTGCTGGCATAGCTGGCACAGATGCTGCTGGTGATGCGGATGCTGCGCCTCTTGTGGCACCAACGTTGGCACTTTCAGTCGCTCGGGAGACGTCACAACGACAGCACGCACCTAAACTCGTATCCGCACCAAGAAGCGCCTTTCATCGAGTCAGTCAGCCAAGCCAGCTCCTGCCGTTGGCCATTCATACTACGGTTACCTACCGCGTCAGCTAACTGACTGTCATCGTCGGATTGTCAGCCCGTCAGTGTCTGTTTGTCAGTGGCTGTCGATCTCCTCCCTGTCACTGGCACTCGCACTCGCACTGGTACTCGCACTCGTCCTGGCTCTCGTCCTTGTCTGAGTCTGCTAATGAAATTAATGCAGTCAACTTTTTATTTGCCATCCTTAATTGAATTCGCAAGCTTATTTGCCAGTGTGGATGTGTGTTTGTAAAGCAAGCAACTTACTTTAATTGAAATACTTTCGGTGCATCATTTGCCAAATGATATTCAAAGTTTCTCAGAGGCCAGTTGGTGGCAACTATTTGAGAGACTTAAACATGAGGAAAGTGCAAGTTCCTGATGGCAAATGGTATTTCCATTAAAGTAACAAAATCCAGATGCACTTTGCAGTCGATTCCCCCAAAGAGTTGATATTTCTTTCATCAGTTTGTAAATCAAAATTTTCAAAAGTCAAAAACAAGAGGATTTTCATTCTCTGATTGACTTGAGATGTTTCCCATGGCTTGAGTTTTGGAATTTCAATCAATGTCTTGTTTCAAATGATTTTAAAAGTATTTCATTTTCCCCTCCAAGTAGTTTGATGGCCAACCTATCACAGCAATCATAAATCCTGACAAAAAATACTTGAAAATTTCAACCTCGAATGGAATCGAGTGCAAAACCAGAGGCTGTAATAAAAAAAACAAGTGTAGAGCACGGCGGCAATTTCTGTCCAAGTTACGGGTACGTGTCGGTGTTGTTTTACGGTTACGGGCACACAAAGCAAACAGCCGGACGGACTTGGACAAATACTTGCCAGCAGCCGCACCTCCGTTCCCGCACCCGCCGGAGACAAGAACGTGGTGCACTCTGCCATTTAGCTTGACTTGGCTTACAATTTTTGTGGCCCAACTTGGGAAGGGAGGTGGAAAATTCAGAGTGCGTGGCTGTGTGGATGTAATTGCATCATTAAGTTGACACTCTGCCTGGCAACTTGACACGACGACGTGGTCTAGTGGAAAACTGCGGGCAGTGCAGTGTGCAAACAATTTGCCAAATCCGAAACCGAACTCGATTCGAGTGATTCTGGTTCTGATTTCAGATTTCTGATTCCAGATTTCAGAGAGATACAAACAAAATACGTACAAACACTCTCGAAATCGACTGACTTGCTGAAGGCTTCGCCAAACATTCGAGTGCATAAATATTTATTACGCATACGCAGCGTGTGACGGGAAAGCAAAGCCAGTGCCAGTGCCAGTGCCAGTTCCAGTGCTAGTGCTAGTGCCAGTGTGTTTGCTTTTTGTTTTTTTTTTTGCCTCTAAAAAAAACACTCACCTTGAGTTACATACACTCTCTTATAAAAAAAATGTATATATATATATATATATATATATATATATATAATACAGATATTTTTGTTTCTAGCTATTTTCAAACGTGTTCATGCTTAACAGGTTTTTGTTCAATTTTGTTACTAAATTCGGCGACACGCATAAAAACCAAATCACCAACGGCAACTGCAATTGAAAATGTCTACTCAGGTGTCTGGTAATTTATTGGCTGGTAAGCTCGCAGCTCAACTGAAGCAAAAACTACATTTTGTTGACCAAATAGTTCGTAAAAAAAAGATATTTAAAGGCAACGAGAAAACATGCTCACTTTAGGTGTTGCGGCTGTGGGTTCGACTTGAATGTATAATTGCAGCAAGTGGCTCAGTGGCTCAAAAAAGTGGAAAAGCATTTAAAAAGCAACTCAAATTGTTGTAAAATGATGAGCGTTGATTGCTTCGAAAGCCCCCAGCCGGCACAAGTAGCTTTCAAGGGAAATCTCAGATGAAGAATGCCTTGAATTCTCCAGGAAATTGAATCTACAAGATAGCTTAAAAACAAAGATAGCAGACACTAAGAAAAATTTTCCTGATTTTTTAAATTAATTCATTCTTGACGGGATTTAAATATATATTTAAAACAAGTATATTTTTCACTTACAAATTATTTTTTAAATTATTTATTTTGTGAAAAAAGTATATCGTACTCTACCATTAAATTATGCTGGCTTTTGTTGATATACGAACCCCTCCTCGAGTGCAGTTTCATTAGAAATGCAATTGAAAAACCAGCAGGGGATCTGCCAGAGTGGCAAATTCCATTCAGATACTAAACATTTCAAGGCATTTTCAGGTCGTTACAAAACAAAAAGACTCTTTTCTCAAACAAATCTTTATCTTTAATAAAGTTGTCTAAAAATTAATGTGATTTATGTATTTATTCAACCAACAGAACCACCAGTTATGGCCACTTCTCGCCGCAAATCAGTCTTCGCCGAGGCCTACGATCCGGAGGCAGATGATGACGATGATGGTGCCACTGCCGTATTCCCCAAGACAGATGAACAGCGGGCCCGACTTGTCGAATCGGTGAAGAACGTCCTTCTCTTCCGTTCCCTCGAAAAGGAGCAGGTTCGTGGCACTCTATTCCACTACATAAATCATAAATCCCCTGGCAGACACACATACTGCCTGCGGTTTTGCTTTTTCGGCATCGCGTGCGCCAGGATTACCCATCCTGGCTGCCCTCCCCTTGCTTTCCTGTATCCTTTGTAACCGATTTGTTTTTGTGCAGATGAACCAAGTCCTGGATGCGATGTTCGAGCGAAAGGTTCAGCCAGGCGATTATATCATTCGCCAGGGCGACGACGGCGATAACTTTTATGTTATTGAATCGTAAGTAAAACAAAACAAATTTCCAATCAAACTTCATGAATAATGCTTGCCAGTCATCGTTTTCTTATTCTTTTTATTTTGAAGAGCCCAAAGTTTTTGTTTTTGGGTTAAAGGTTGAACTTTTGGTGATTTTGTAAAGACAGACACACATAAAGAAGTATTACAAAAGCTAATATATTACATAAATCAAGGGTGTTGTCAATAAAAAATTATACCTGAAAAGATTATGTTTTTTAAAGTTAAATCTACCAGTTAAAATAATCATAATAAAGAATAGATAACTATTTTAAATAGTAATTTAAACAAATTATTAAACAAAAACTATTTAAATTAATTTCACTAAATTTTCAAAGTCATAAACCTTAGTTCTTTTTATGTTTTTTGAATTTAATTTCTTGTTTCTACAATTGAAACATTTTCTAAGAAGTATTACCGCATATTTGGTCAGGCACAGCGACAAGCCCCATTCATTTATTTGCGGCCTAATTAATGTGTATTTGAATGGGAATTTATATTTGATATGGCAATTAATAGGCATTTACATATTGATGAGCAAACATGTACCGCATCCATTATAAATTGCATTCAATTAAACGTGAATTTTTCTCTCTCTCCTTTCTCCCATCTGTCTTTTCGAAACTGAACCTTAACCCGCAAACCCCAAACCCCACAGTGGCATCTACAAAGTGTATATTAATGACAAGCACATTAACACCTACAATCACACTGGACTCTTCGGTGAATTAGCGCTGCTCTACAACATGCCCAGGTATGTGACGCGAACTAGCCCCCACAACACCATGTATTTGATTGATTCATTATGCCAAATTTTCCGCGGTGTCTGAGCCACAATTACAACGTGTTAATAGGCTTATAAATAGACTCTACTGATAATCAAAAATCTAATTCGGATCTCGATTCTCGAATTATCCAGAGCTGCCACCGTCCAGGCGGAAACGAGTGGATTGCTGTGGGCCATGGATCGCCAGACCTTCCGGCGCATCCTATTGAAGTCGGCATTCAGGAAGCGGAAAATGTACGAGGAGCTGTTGAACAGCGTGCCCATGCTGAAGGCTTTGCAGGTGGGTAGCCACGCCTTCCGCCCCCTCCCATACCCCATTATCCATCTCGCAATGATATCTAATGGCTTGTGCTTTCCAGAACTATGAACGCATGAATCTGGCAGATGCTTTGGTTTCAAAGAGCTACGATAACGGAGCACGCATCATCAAGCAGGGTAAGGCTGGGAAATTTTTACATAAATGGAGTAAATGTTTCAATTAAAGAGTTCTTACGAGTATGGGTTTTCCAATGTGTGGTTCACAAATTGTAATATTTATATTAAAGGCTATAATCCATAAACTTAAGTGAAACAACCTAGACAAGATGGGAATAAATACATAATTAGTAACTGGAATATTTTGGGTTTATTTCTGATTACTTTCTTACTGAAAAGGTTTTTCATTAATTTCTGTTGAAAATTCCTTCAATATGTCAGTTGTATAATCAGTTTTAATTTTATAAAGGAAAAGAAATAATATATTTTTAGCTTATTAAAAAAAGGACTTGTGATACTACATAGATGGTGATAGTTTGATAGAAGTGAATTCTAGGAAAATCCTTCCCTCCGTAAAAAATAATTTCTTGTATAATTCTACTATTATTATTTTATAAGTTTTAAGATACTTTTTGAAAATGTTGTAGTTAAAGTATTGTAGTAGTTTTGTAATCGAAAAACTATATGTCCAGTATTGAAAAAAGTTTGGCAATGACACCAACTGAGTAACAAATTTCTTCCTTGAAAACCTCACAATTATTATTTAATGCAACTCTTGAAAACCTTGAAATATTTAACCCACAATCTTAGCCATAACACTTGAGTGTTTTGCCCCCCAAAGGACCCTCACTTAAAAGCATCGATTTTTCTTACTTTTCCCCAGGTGATGCGGCCGATGGCATGTACTTCATCGAGGAGGGCACCGTGTCCGTCCGCATGGACCAGGAGGACGCCGAGGTGGAGATCTCGCAGCTGGGCAAGGGCCAGTACTTTGGCGAGCTGGCTCTGGTGACACATCGGCCACGTGCCGCCTCCGTTTATGCCACGGGTGGTACCGTCAAGCTAGCATGTGAGTGTCCAGTGAACTGTCTGACCCGTGTGCGCCCCATGTGCCCCGTGTGCCCCGCGGTGGCGACACGGAAAGCCTTTCAGTTACAGTTGATCTCTCCCAGACACCAGTTCCATTCCGTCGCACTATATTGCTTGGCCTAATCCCTAATGCTTTTGTTTATTTGTTCTTTGTTTTTTTCCCCCCTCTCCCAAACACACCCATAACTCCCACACACCACCCCCACTATCACTATCCCTCCCTTATGTATGTGATGTATTTGTTGTGCGTTTTTGTGTGTATCCTTAGTCCTGGATGTGATTTGCTTTGAGCGCCTCATGGGCAAGTGCAGCGGGGGCATCCAGCGTAGTATCAGCGAGTATCGTTATTTGGAACAGGACCTGCGCGAATACTTTGATAACTTGCATTTAATATAATCTTAGATATTGATTTAGTCTCCGGCTTAAAATTGCTTTCGGTTTTTCGACCTCTTTTGGCTGAGTTTTTGGAGGAACTTGAGAGATATTTCTAAAGAGGATACTCTTTTAATGCCATATCTGTGAGATAAAAAGCCCTAAACTTTAGGCTTCTGTTAACCTTTTCATGTTTATAGTAATTCTAGTATATACATAGTCCTTTAAAGCATTCATATTGTAATTCTGAAAAAATATAAAAACTCCTTACGAGGTCCAACTGAGGTCGTTGAAATCACTTCCTACATCTACAATATAGATTTTATTATAATACCTAATAAAAAACCTGAAACTCCGTCCAGTCCTAGACACCGAGGCCTTTGAACGAATCATGGGCTTCCTGACCGATGTCCTTAAGCGCAATATTGTGATCTACGAGCAAATGTTCACCGACATGGCCCGCCGCAACACCAATTTGTGAACGAATCAAGTTTATATAGTTGTTACGATTACCTTTCGTGTTTCGGATTACCTTTCGGGTTGTTCAACAAAATTCTCAAATGTAGCCAACAGTTTTTCGAAATTTCCTAAAGAACCATTCAAAATTGTTTATGTTACTTAATATATAAAAAGATCTAAAAAAGAAAGGAGTTTTTTTTAATCCCTACACACAAGCGCCTTCCAGAATATATCCCATCACTTTTTCCCCCAAAAAAGAAGAATGAAAAACAGCTCAAAGAACACTGAAACGCCTGAAGATGACACAGGCATCAAAGGGTTAATGGATCGGTAAGACTCGGCTATTTAGAAGCTATAAAGGGGCCTGTGGTGATCAAGAGATCAAGATGGAAGGGTTTTGGTTTTGGACCGTGTGCTAACCTGTTTTGTTGATTAAGACTTACTAAACCCCTTGCCTCCAGAGAAGTCCTTGTTTCCCGGCATGCACTATGTGTTTGTTATTCAACCAAAAATGTAATAAAACAAAAAATTAATTAAAATTGTCTCTTTCGTTTAGTCCTGGATGTTAAGGCCTTTGAGCGTTTGCTGGGTCCCTGCATGGATATTATGAAGCGCAACATTGACGACTACGAGTCGCAGTTGGTGAAGATATTTGGCAGCAAAAACAATATCACCGATACACGATAAAAAGTCTGAACAACAACCAACAAAAACCACCATCAAAAGCTACAACAAACAGCAACTGAAAAGCAACAACGGTCACTTGCAGGCTTATTAGGGATTTTATTTTGTATGTTTTTTTTTTTTCATTAGAATTGAGCAATACCACAGACAACAAACAAGCAACAAACAATAAACAAACAAAGCACAAATACCAAACACACAAGGACACAAAAATAATTTAAACTTAATCCTGAATATTTGATAATTGAAATTAATCTATAATACTATAATAACGATGACGATGTTGATCATGAGAAGAAGCTTAGCAATGTTTCTTAAATCTAAAAAAATGTAAAACAAAAAAAACCATTATGAAAAAAGCCACAAGCAAGTTAAGAATTGTATTGTATGTATTTAGCAATTGTAATTTGTAATGTAATTAATTGGGCAAAAATGAATTCAAATGCAATCAGCAAACAAAAACTCTAAAAAGTTAAAAAAAAAAAAAAACAAGAAAGATTGGCTCAACTCGGGAATGTTAAAAATCTACTAATTTAAGTTTTGTTTTATATCATATATCCTTTTTGTTATTCATTGATTTATTCATAGTTTGTTTCATTGGCTGCTAATTATACGATAAGTGAAAAACAAAAAAGAAAAAAACAAAAGGCGAAAGCTATAATTAAATATATATCAAATAAGAGCAACTTGAACCACACACATCAGCAAGCTAAGAGTTTCCAAACCCACACGTATATCGGACAAATACTTACACAACTAAAGAAACTAATTTTCATAATGAGAACCCTAATTTAATATTGAATCTAACAAAACAACCAATCAATGTATGTACTAGTCTATACAGCTGGACGGACAGGCGTTTCAGCCAGCGAGTTGGGGAGGCGATTCAAGGATATCAGATTTTCAAGTCCATTTCCCAAAACACGATAACGAAAACGATTCGCGGCGATCTCATGAGCAAGTGCTATATTATCAGTTCGGTTCTCAGAGAGGTGGAGGAGGACGAGGAGGGATTTAATCGGAAATTACGAGAGGTAGAAGCTAAAGGCACAATCAATATGTTGCATGGGATCAACTTAGAAAACTTTGAGCAAAAACTAGCGAAAAAAACTAAAATTAAACAGAGAGAAAGGGCGGGACAACTAAATATGTAGTAGAGAGAAAGTGAAAGAGAAAGTTGTGTGTTTAAAATGCTTTAGATTGTTCTCCTTACGATGTGTATATTGTGTATGTCTTTTATTATCGCGGGCCCTAGAGCATCCTGTTAGGTGAACCAATCAAAGCAATATCGACCTGAGCGGATCGGCCTGGATGTGGATAAGATGTGTACTTAGTATATTCCCGTTTTTGTTGCTGTTCAATACCTGTACTACCCTATATCTACATCTATTTATATATATATATATCTAAATATATATATCTATTTATATAACTGAATGAGCTTAAACTATGGTAAAGCCTAAAACCTATACCTACTAAACCGAATCCAACTACTTTTTATGTGAATGTGTAACCCCATTGTTTTGAACAAAACAGCGTAACTAAACAAATCCTAGATGAATAATCAGTGAACATGCATATAAAATATATAAATAGGTATAATATTAAATTAAATCAATTCAACTGGCATACCAACAGTCAAGAGGTGTTCAAAGCTAAAAGAAACTACATATAATACAAGAAACGGAGAAAATATCATATATGTATCTTGCTGCAAGCTAGCATCGGCTCGCAAGCTGCAACATAATAAATCTATAATATATACAAATATGTTTTTAATCTTAATTGGTGTCTAGTCTATGTTCAAGACTTTAAAGCAAACAAATTCTTGCAAATTTTCAAAACAATAACATAAAAAGAGAAAGATAAACCTTAATATATATCGAAAGAGTAATGATCTAGAAACTAATTAAGAACCAGAAAGTGCTGGCCATTTTCTTCCACATACCAACTACACACGCACACACCATACGCACACACACACACACACACAGAACACACTCAAGCCATACATCATAAAGCTCAATAAAAAAAATATGTACGAGAACCTAAAAAGTCCTTCAGAAATTATGAACTTGACGCGCAAATTTCAAACTTCACCGAAAATGAATAAAAAAAAAAAAATAAGAAAAATAGAGCTATTCGTATTTTAACTGTTGTGTTGTAATTATGCATAAAGCGTATTAAATTATGTATGTGTAACAAGATATGAATAAAAAAAAAAAAACAAAACAAACGAAAGAAATAAAAAAAAAGAAAGCATTAAGTATAAAATATTTGAAAAATGGTGTAGACACTGAAAAAAAAACAAAAACTTTATTTACATTAATCGCCGAAGATGCTGCAACTACCAACAACAACAAAATAAAATGCAAATCAATGATATCATGCTTTCGCCATATAAAACCTTAATTTTAATTTTGTTTCGTTTACCGATGCCAAAACATTGATTTTAAATAACCTGCAGCTAAATGAATGGCATAGAAAGTTAATTTGTAAGACCGAAGCGATGATGATTATTAAGATATGGGAGAATTCAACTAACTTCATATTAAGATGTCCTTGTTATGTCGCAAAAAATTTATGAAAATATAAAGTAAAAAAAAAGATGGAAACATGAAAAAGCAAGCATGACGAATGATGAATACAAGTTTAATAAATGCGATAAAACAAACGTGATTTTATTTATTTAATGGGGTGGGCTGGGTGAAACCAAATGTTAAAATAAATTTCGGAAGTCGAACCTATAAAAGATATTATTTATTTAACTTGACATATGAGAGCTAAGAGCTTGATTATAGTCTAGATCAGAGGTCGGCACGGCCCTATCTCGGGGGCATAGGAAAGGTGCCGACCACTGGTCTAGATGTCTGATTTTCCTTGGATATTTAGTAAAAGGTTGGAGTTACTCATCATGTAACAACTAATGGGTATTTCACTGATCTATAGTTTATCGAATTTCCATACCTTGGTTAAGGATAACATTAGGTCGCTTAGATATTAAAAATAAAAAACTGCAATCCTCAAAACAGATCCATTCTAAACATTTTTTAGTAGTAATCTGGAGGATTTTTGATAAGAATTTTTTTGAATTTGTAAATTTTCTTTGGTTTTCTTAAAAAAGTATAAAGTTTCTTATTCTTTCTTATTCTTCTGATTTCTTATCCATTTTGGGTTTTCTGTTTATCAATATGGAGGATGATTCTCATCTCCACAAACTGACAATTTATTTTTATGGAAGTTAAATTGAATAACCTAAGTTAATAAGTTAAATAATAATTTTCATGTTTTATTCCAGACCAGTATTTACTAGACCAGTAATTTCTGTAATTAGATTATCATTATGTATTTAGATTCTAAATTTTAGAATATAAATATCTGGTAGAAGCACGCGATTGTCGTAGCATTATGTTGAAAAATGTGCAGGATTTCGTATTCTTTCAGACGTTTCTTGTGATATTTTGGTGTCGGCATCATCGTCCTTATCCCGATACCCAAAAGCTTCAACCATCTATATTTTTTTAGATAGTTATAGTGGACTCATGTCATAGATGGTAGTTCAGAATTCTTTGTAATTTGACCCATAAAATATATCTTTATGGATCACAAATGAAAGATATCCTACACCACCTATTAAAATAGCATAATTTATTGAATTTATAATTTTTATTCACTTAAAAACGTAGCTCCAAATACACTTATAATTTTACGGTGTTTAATATATGTTTTTATCTTTAAATGTATGTGTGTATGTGTATCGTTTATAATTATGTTTATAGAAACTCATATCGGAGCCGCTCTACCGACAATGCACGAATGATAAGTGTGAGGCGTGGTTTGGGATTCGCCAATGGATGTGGTTCCGGATTAGGCTGGCCTAATCCAAAACAAGGTTGCTATCTTGCCTTGACCAAGACCAGTGTGTTGGTATCAAAATGACGATTATTGTATTATTGGTTTTGGGTATATATTGATCCGATTCCTTTGCCTTAGCCAGAATGCCTTAGCCTTGGATTGGTTGCTGTGGTTGCCGCCTCCAGGATGCGAATGTAATTTGTTTGCTTGCTCGGTTTTCTTTCTTTTGTTTCTTTTCTGTTTTCTGGGAAAAATTCATTTAAAAAGTTTCTGCTTTTTGTTTCTTCTTTCTTTTGTGGTTTTTTAGCAGTGTATAAACTAGAAATCTAACTGTAAAGATCATCGTCGCCATTGTCTCCTGGCGAGTTAACTGGCATGTTGTTGCCAGACCCTGAGGTGTTGGCGGCTTGACCCGGGAATCTATATTTAATAAAAATTATAAGTAAGCTTTAAGATTTAAAGTCCTACGCTGAAACTCACCTGAAGTTCTGTCCAAAGCCACGAGACTGCTGCAGAGTTTGAGCAAACATCTCGTATTTCCTGATGTCATTATCGGACACCGAACGGCGAGCAAACTTCATGGCCTCCTCGAAGTGAGCGCTAGTGATCTCCGGCACTGGATCGTCCTCGTCCATCTGGGATTACGGGGAAAAAGTCAAAAATAGATGTTCATTTTTCTTAACCTAATGTGCTACTTACGTCCATCGCAGAGTTCTGGTTCTCGGAGCGCTCCTTCTCGCGACGAATCTCTGCCTCGATGGCCTGACGGATGGCCAGTTTGCAGGCGCGCTGGCAAATCTCAGTCAGATCGGCACCCGAGAAGCCCTGAGTCACCTTGGCGATGTAGGTCAGGTCCACCTCCTTGGCCAGCGGCGACTTGCGCAGGTTGGCCTTCAGGATAGCCTCGCGCGACTTGTCGTCGGGCAGCGGGATGTAGATCAGCTGATCCAGACGACCAGGACGCAAGATGGCCGGATCGATGATGTCGGGCCGATTGGTGGCGCCAATGATGAACACATTCTTCTTGGCTCCCATGCCGTCCATCTCAGTGAGGATCTGGTTGATCACACGATCGGCAGCACCACCAGCATCGCCCATGTTGCCGCCACGTGCCTTGGCGATCGAGTCCAACTCATCGAAGAAGAGCACACAGGGGGCCGCAGAGCGGGCCTTGTCGAAGATGTCGCGCACATTGGCCTCGGACTCGCCGAACCACATGGTCAGCAGCTCGGGTCCCTTCACCGAGATGAAGTTCGCCTGGCACTCGTTGGCGATGGCCTTGGCCAGCAGGGTCTTACCGCAACCGGGGGGTCCGTAGAACAGGACACCGCGACTGGGCTGCATTCCGAACTTCAAGAACTTGTCGGGATGCTCCACCGGGTACTGCACTAGCTCCTGCAGCTCCTTCTTCACGCTCTCGAGACCACCGATGTCCGACCAGGTGGTGTTGGGCACCTCAACCACCGTCTCACGCAGTGCCGATGGGCTGGACTTGGTCATGGCATACCGGAAGTTCTCCATGGTCACGGCCAGAGAGGCCAGAACCTCGGCGTCGATCTTGTCGTCCTCCAAGTCGATGAGGTCCATCTTCTCACGGATCTGCTGGAGAGCTGCCTCCGAGCACAGCGAGGCCAGATCAGCACCCACATGTCCGTGGGTTTCGGCGGCAATCTGCTCAAGATCGACGTCCTCGTGCAGCTTCATGTTCTTGGTGTGAATTCGCAGAACTTCCAAGCGACCGGTGGCATCGGGAATGCCAATGTCGATCTCACGGTCGAAGCGTCCAAAGCGACGCAGAGCCGGGTCAATGGAGTTGGGCCTGTTGGTGGCCGCCATCACGATCAGGTGAGAGCTCTTCTTCATGCCGTCCATCAAGGTCAGCAGCTGCGACACGATGCGGCGCTCCACCTCGCCGTGGGTCTTGTCACGCTTGGGAGCAATGGCGTCGATCTCATCGATGAAGATGATGGCGGGAGAGTTCTTCTCGGCCTCTTCGAAAGCTTTACGCAAATTGGACTCTGACTCGCCGGCCAGCTTGGACATGATTTCGGGTCCGTTGATCAAGAAGAAAAAGGCGCCAGTCTCGTTGGCGACGGCCCGAGCGATCAGGGTCTTTCCCGTACCGGGAGGTCCGTACATGAGGATACCGCGCGGCGGCTTCACACCAATAGCCTTGAACAGCGACGGGTGACGGAGGGGCAGCTCCACCATCTCTTTAATCTGGGCCAACTGCTTGCGGCAGCCACCAATGTCGTCGTAGCCCACGGCATTCAGAGACTCTTCCTCCTCCTCACGCTTGATGGGATCACCATCACAGAAGATAACCGTCTCGGGGGCGACAATGCAGTACGGCTCGGGCTCAGTGAGCATCACCTTAAACTCAATGGGACGCATGGCGGCGCGCACAATGAAGTTGTCGCCCATGTGGATTGGACGGTAGGCCTCGAGGAAGTAGGGCTTCAGATAGATCTCGAAAAGGTTACCGGTAACGCCTTCGGTGGTGTCATCGATGGGCAGGATACGGACTCTTTTTCCGTACTTGACGTCCGGGCAGGACTGCACCGACACAACATCAGAGAGATGGACGCACAGGTTGTTGCGCACCACTCGGTTCATGCGGATCTTCTCATCGGGGCAGGTATCGTCCGAGAGCACGATGCAGACTGTCTCCTTGCGGCGCTTGCCCTTCAGAATCACGGTGTCACCACGGAAGAGCTGCAGCTCGTCCATCTTCGCCTGGAAGAGAGACAGCCGAGCGAATAAGTAACCTGAAACATGATGACGTGGCCCAACCAAGCGAGCCAACTGAACCACTTACCTGCGACAGCGACACCACAGAGTTGTCATCGTTCTGGGCCTCCTCCACAATCAAACGGTTAGGACGGTCCTTGCGCTTCAAAATCGCCGTAGCCAGATCATCACTGCGAAAGGAGGCGAAAAAAAAGAAACCTTTTATTACAAACGTCTCAATATGAAGGTGTTCCCAATTCCAACCGCTTCTCCGAAGAGGACTGCGGTTTCATCTTCTCGTCCTGCTCGCTGTGATAGCCCTGCATAAAGTTCCTGGTGTCATCATTGCCGCCCGACATTCTGCCTTGTTCATATGCTTGGGAACCCCCTTTATTATATTCTTTAATTCTTTTTTTTTCAACTTTTTTTGTTGGTCTCGATCAAGTTTTTTTTTAAGACTGCCACCACGCAAAGACAAAACAATGGAACTGAACTTCAGAGTATCTCCAGTGCCGACAGCATATTCCCGGCCAACTTTGATTGGTTAGTCGGCCTACTAGTAGTTGAAAAAATTTAACAGAACTCAGTTATGGACATGTCATGGCATGTTTTGTAGCATCATCCAGAAACACGTCATGTTTCGCAGACTTTTGAAATTCAATTCGAGAATTTCGAATAAGGAAGGATTTATTATGTAGGAGTATTTATTTTATTCTGAATCACATATAGATTCATAGATAAGATTTTATTAGCGATTGGAGATTAGGGAACTAACCATAAAATAAAATAAAACACGCTTTGGTTATGCTTCTAATACGAAATATTGAAAATAGTGCGTCTCGTTTTAACCTTTTTCTTGGAAAACAAAGAAAAGGGGTCTCGAGCACCACCAACAACTACCAAAGTAACAGCGGCGGCACCAAAAACAACAACTGCGAGACAACACCAAAGAGCGCACTGCAATGGCGATTTTCTTTTCGGGGTTTCGGTTTCGGGCTGCTTGGCCTAGTTTCGCAATTGGTGCATCGGAAAAAGCGGCGCAAGGAATACTCGGAAGGACATGGATGTTCATTAGGTGTTTCTTAAATTAGTGGGCTATCAACCTATAATCGCATTGTCTGCGATGTGGCCCTCGCACTCATTTTCCCTCAGTTTTCGGGCCAATGACTGCGCAAAATTTAAGAGCTACGGCAGCAAATTCAGGGCCGCTTTGTCGGCGCCCTTTTTTGGGGCTAGTACACTTACCCCTTTGAATCTGCCATGGTAAACTAGTAGTAGTTGAACTTTGTAACTTAAACGTAGAAATCGGCTAATTGGACACTCGGGGTTCGGCTGCAATGCTTTCTGAAAAATCGGTCCAAAATCGCAAAATCACCAAAAGACGAGCTAGCGGTGGATAAGCTTCGATAGGTTGAACTTCAGTGCTGTAGCCGACTCAAACTTGCAATTGTAGTGTTGCAAAACCGTCGATTATATCATATATATTCCCATCACTAAGATCTTTCGATGCATTAGCACTAGAGACGGCAGTCGTAAAGTACTGTTTTAAATAGCCGAACAAATGAACAAACTCAATAATTGTATTGTGTTAATCAGATAATTTTTAATAAAGGATTTTTGGTTCGTGAAGGATAAAGAATATGTTTAAGAAACATCTTTTCCGCTAATGAGTATTCGATGATTTTCAAATTATTTAGTGTTGATCAACGTTATTTGCAGTCCACCCCTAAATTAACTTACCAGAACTTACCTCTTTGGCGGCTAATTCAAACAGTACCTTAAGAAAATATCATAATAGTTGATTCAAGGAAGAATCTTTATTCCACGCTTTGTGCAATACACTTATATAAATACATATATATTGAATACAAAATATGCGTCTCTTTGTGTGGTTGTGTGTTAGTGTAAAACAACATGTTGCAAAATTTGTCGGGTTAGCACAAAGATTCATAAATATACGCCACGAAATACATAAACAAAGTTTAAATGCTTTAGATTTCAATTGTTTTTGAAGTATTCGATCGTTTTGGATTTCAATTATTACTTTTTTTCACATTTTTATAAATTTTTGTTCGAGAGTATGTGTTTTTGGATTTGGTTTGCTTTTTGGGTAACTTTCTAGCCAGCATGCACAGACTGAAATGAAGAGAAAGGAAACATAAAGTGAATCGAAATCAGGGAATCAATATTCGTAAATCAGAGCATAACTGAAAATCGAAAGGAAGCCAACAAAATTTGCGTTTTAGTGTCTACCACAAAGTCTTTTGATTGCCATTTGTTTTTCATTAATTGGATTCAGGGTCGTCTCCGCCATCCGCTTCTTTGGTTTTTTTTCTGACTGATCTCGTCGAGCTTCGATTCAAAGTTAGATAAATTCTGAGTTTGAACGTACCCGTGCAATGTCCACGCCGGTTATGTTCTTAACCAGCTCTGGCACTTTGTTAACGATCTGCAGGACCTCGCCGGTCAGCTTGGCAGCACCGATATCGCCCTGTCCGCTGGACACCATGGTGATCTTCTTCGCCTGCGATAGTGGAGCAGCGACTTCAGCGGCCACCTAGAGGAAATGGTATTAATTATTTGTTTTAGTGGGCTGCTGGAGAAGAGACATACCTTTGGCAACGTGTCCAGAAGCATCTCCACCATGGCAGCTTCACGGTATTCGCGCCAAGCGTCGGCCTTTTGGGCCATCTGCTCAGCCTCCGCCTTGGCCTTGGCCGCAATGGCAAAGGCTTCGGCCTCGCCACGGATTTTGATCTGCAAGAATGAATTTTATTATCAATTCAGATATATCCGAAGTGGTTTAGTTTACCGATTCGGCCTCAGCCTCAGCCTCCATAACCACACGCTGCTTATTGGCCTCGGCTAGCTTCTCCAGACGGAACTTTTCAGCCTCGGCCGGACGACGCACGGTGGCTTCCAATTCTTTCTCGCGACGCAGGATCTCCTGCTCCTGCACGGCAATCTCCTGGGTTCGCTCAATCACTTTCACCTGCATTTGCTCCTCCTTGATGCGCTGCTTGGTCTTGGCGGCCTGCAGTTCATAGGCCATCTCCGCCTCGGCTTTTTTGGTCTGCACCTCCACGTCATAGGCGGCCTTCTTCAGCTCGAAATCGCGCTGGGCTTTGGCAATGTCGGTGTCGTTCAAGAATCTGGCGGCCATTCGCTGTTCCTCGGCAATGGCTTCCTTAATGTGCGCCTCCGCCCGGGCCTCGGCCTCTCCAATCCGAGCATCCCGCTTAACCTCCGCGGTACGAGCCATGCCCAAGGACCTGAGGTATCCCTGAAAAGCAAACCAGATATCTTAACTCACATATTTTCATTGCATGAAAAGGAATATTCTTTGAAAGGTATGGTGACGGGATGTAACCTCAGGGACTTCACAAACGTTTAGGTCTTACGTTGGTATACGCACCTTTGAGTCTCCCTGATATGGATCCATGCGGACATGCAAAAAATATACATATTATATACAAAAAGATTTTACCAAAAACAAATGGCTCAGAGCCACGACAACGAAGGGAGTAAATTAACAAATAATTTAAAACAAAGAAATATAGTTTTTAAGAAAATAAAATAACTAATCTATTTACGAGAGATAATCACCTCCTCATCACGCAAATCCTTGATGGTGTAGGATACCACGGTTATTCCCATGTTGGCCAGATCACTGGAGGCCACCTCGAACACCTGCTTGCTGAACTTCTTACGATCCTTGTAGATCTCCTCCACGGTCATCGAACCCATAATGGCGCGCTGGTGTCCCTCGAGGGTCACCAAGGCGATATGGTTGATTTCTGCCTCCGTCTTGCCCAGAAATTGCTCACAGGCGGTAAGCAGCATGTCCTCGTTCTGTCCCTGGACCTTCACCTGGGCAATGCCCGTAACGGAGATGGGAACGCCCTGGCTGGTGTACACACATGGGCTCTCAACCTGGAGAGTCATGGTGTTCAACGAAATGCTGCAATTTCGAATACCAATTAGCTGCTAAGCTCAATAATTTTAAAATAATTTAAATATATATTTACCGTTGCACCTGCTGGATTGTGGGCCAAACGAAGGCTCGACCGCCCGGCACCAGAAGCGGCTTCATGTAGCAGCATCCTGCGAACGAAAACCAAACAAATCACCCTTTTGTTTACAAAACATTTGAAAACCCGCTAGGTGCGCGCGCACCCCAATGCTTCTTCTTCCTATTAGCAGTACACAAAAATCGATAGGAATGACGTCACTCAGGGGTGGGGTGTTTGCTGTCACCAATTTATATTTTAAGTTAAGGCACAATTGTAGGCCTGATCTGTAAGGAGGACACGAAAAAGCTGTCAATTACCGGAGACAACCAACGCCTCGTTGGGACCGCAGGTGACGAAGCCCCAAGTCATCTTGGATGCGAATTATCGCCTGTAAGTATTGGGGAAAAGTCCGATCTGAGGTGGTTAGAGCTGCTGATAAGCGTCTCCGTTTTCACAAGAATTTAGCAAATCCCGATCCGATTGGAGTGAAATATAGACCAGATCCACAGGTCGCTAGGTGGACAAGTGTCTTTCGGTATTATTTATATACACAGAGTATATATATCTAGCACGCGGAACGGAACGCGACCGGTTCGCCTTAAAATCCAGAGTAGAATAAAAATCTCTCGCCGCCGTTTGCCATCCCCAGCGTGTGCGCAGCTACATTAACCCTTATACGATGTCGGGGGTTCAGAATGAACAGCATCTCCAGGTAAGTGGCTTTTTATTCGTACAAGAAAACTAGATAAAATCTGAATTAATAGATCTTAAGGTACTAAATTCTTAGATGACTGCCTCCAGCTTGGGGCTCTAAAATAATTTATATCCGGAGATACTCCCTTTGGTTCACACACAACTACGTACAGTAGAAATCGGTTAAGCGGAATCTTATAATAAAAGATAACATTTTGAAAAAGATTTAGAATTAGAAATACAAGCTCTTTAAGTAAAGCAAACTTTTTAAGTATTTATAAAAAAATTTCAAAATTGCTTAGAAAGTTTCACCTTTTAACCGAAACCTACTGCTTAGGCATTAATCGAAGACCTGGGAGGACACTACGCACATCCATAGCTGCACAAGATTAGGTATTTGGCTTAAGGCTAATCCAACTCGAAGTCCATCAAGTTTCAGTGACCAGAGGATGTGCTGTCCGTGAAGTACGGATGCTGCATGGCGGCCTCCGCACTGATCCGCTGATTTGGCCGGCAGACTAGCAGTTTCTGCAACAAATCACGACCTTTGGAGTTAAGTCTGGGCACTAGTTGGCTCCACGATGTGATGGCCGGAAATGCTGTGAAAAAAAATGGATTTAAACAATTCTTATAAGCGGGATAGACTTAAAAAATTCCTACAGGGAAGCGCCACGTAGTCGGAGAGGTGCGAGACACCCGGCCAGGAATCTTCGTTGGGGGTACCCAGCACCCGGAATATTTTCATAAGCTGATCCAGCACATCGGAGCCCGGAAATAAAGGTCGTCCAGCATCGGCCAGTTCGGCCAGAATGCATCCCGCTGACCACATATCGATGCTGGTGGTGTACAGCTTGGCGCCAAACAAAACGTCGGGCGGCCTGTACCATAGGGTCACCACCTCGGCGGAATAGCACTTGACGGGAATGCCAAAAGCACGGGCAAGGCCAAAATCGGCCAGCTTCAGTTCTCCGTTTTTGTTGATGAGCAGGTTTTGTGGCTTAAGGTCGCGATGCAGGACGTTGTGGCTGCATGTAGAGGAGAAATGACAAATAAAGAATATCCCATTACGTTTTCTCATTATCTTGCCTGTGGCAGAATGCTAGACCGCGGAGCAACTGCAGCATGAAACTGCGGCACACCGCCATGTCAATCTCCCCGTTCAGACTGTCGAAGTACTTCTTCAGGTCCTGGTCGCAGTGCTCAAAGACCAGGGTCAGCTTCTTGTCCGAGTGCAGGACGTCTATCAGTCGCACAATGTTCTTGTGCTTCAGCTCCTTCAGAAGGCAAATCTCTCGAAGTGCCGAACTGGGCACGCCCTCGTCGTCCTCGTCCAGGCGCACCCGCTTCAACGCCACGATCTCCATGGTGTCCCGGTTGCGCCCCTTGAACACCGTGCCATAGGTGCCCTCGCCTATCTTCTCCATTTTGTCGTACTTCTGCATCTTTGCAGATTTGCGATTTTCTTCGATGGCCAAATAAAAACAAAACCAGAAAAACTGAGTGACCGTACACTAGTACCATTAAGCCACTAAATTAACGGTATGCAACACTGTTTTAGCCAGCATTCTTGTGCTAAAACCCATCGAGGGTTAACGGCGGTTTGAAACTTGGATAAAACGAGGGGTTTTTATAAATATTGAATATTTTGTACATTTATTTAAATATGTCAAGTTTCTTTAGACCGAAGACAGATCAGAACCTAAAGGGGTAAAGGTATTTATCAGGGACCGTAAATAATGATTATTGTCGCTATTTTTAAATGAATAAATCAATCACTTTCAATCAACATAGAACAAGCTTGACTAGCACGTTTTTATCCTTAAGAATACACTATGAATATCCTTGATGATTTTTAATTTTTTATTGTTATATTTATTCTTCTATTGTTAAACCATTTTTTTGATCGAAAATAAATAAAAATCACAAATAATCATTAAGCTTGAACAAAAAAAATAAAACTCGAAAATAATGATTATTCGTGATTTTTATTTTTTTTTATCAAAATAAAACTCACCAAGCAATAACTTTTGATCCTTTAAGGATATTGCCAATATTGTCCTATGTCCTTATAAAGGACCCTAGAGCAATAATTGGCAACAACAACAAAAAAATGCATTTTACCTGTGTTTGTTGCAATTATTAAATATAAGGTCAACTGTTACATACAGAGCAGCAGCAGCAGATATATGTATGTAGTACTATGTACACAATCACCAAAACAATGATCATAATGATAATGATAACCATCATAATGATCAACCAGTAAAACAATTAGGTAAATTAATTTTCAATTTATTATGCATTTATGACATAAAATGAATTTTATGTATTTTTATAATTTTTTTTTTAATTTTAAGAATAACAATTTTGATAGCAACTCGCTCGACAAGTTGCATCTTTGGTCGGTTAGCATTATTTTAAGTGCAGAAAAGGCGCGCTAACTTGGGTAGCTGGAACCGCGAGCACCACCTTAAAAAGCTGATAGGAGGTGATGGAACCAATGTTAGTAGATGTCCGCGAACATCGATTTTTTCTACCTCCACTGGTAGAAAACTGGTAGCAGTGCACTCCTATGAATGTGGCAGCAAATTTTCGTGCCTGAGCATTCTAGGGCATCGTTATTGTCGTTATCCATATCCATGCACAAAATTCGCGGAATACACCATTTGTCGGAACTGCCACCACAGTGCTTGGGACGAGCCGCCTGTACTACGGTGAGGGCCAGAAAGACGCACAGCATCGAAACGAGAACGAAGCGAGCCATTGTTGCTAGTTAATAATTTGGAACCGACTAACTAGCTTTGAGGTGGAGCTGGCTTTATATAGCTTAGGGATAAGAAATTCATTTACGGATCAGTTGCCCTTCTGATCTGAGATTAATTTCGTCGTTTTTGGACAATTCCAGGAAATTTGATTAGCAAGAATTTTGATTCCGGGGAAAGTTGGCGGCAGCAACGCGATTGTGAATAAAATACTTCTTCAAATTCTTCGCGAATTAAAAAATTTAATGAATGACGAGCCCGCAATTTACATAAAATAGCTGATATACATTTTTCTGACGAAAATTTTCAATATACATATGTACAATGTACATACACATTAGGTACATATATAAAACTAAACAGTAAAAACTTTTCTTAAAATGGCTCGGGTCTGTGTTTTAGTTTTTCAATCCGATCTGTGTTTACATATGTACTTTTATAGAGAGGATTACCTCCCAAGATCCTGATCAAGAATCCCCTGATCATTTTCCGTGGTCAATTAAGAGGGTGATAAAGTTTGGTAAAAGAGTATAAGGAGCAAGTGCAAGAGTTCTACAAAATAAATATAGTTACAAAGAAATCGATAGTACATACATATAAGACAGGGTTTCACAAAATTTAAATTAGTTATGCGTTATCTACACTTTATTTTGTTTTATATTTATTTTTTATCTTGAAAATAGGCCCTTCCAAATATTGCATTTTTTATAATTAATCCAAATTAATGTACCATTTCAGATGCAATTTGAAAAGGTGCCTGATGATGTCCTGTACCTTATACTGAGTTACCTCGATCTGAAAACGCAGCTTAAGGCGATACGAGTGCATTCGCGGTTTCTATATCTAATGCCTCATGTTTGGCGTCTTTACTGCAAGAATATGGTGATAGTAGAGCCAATCCTTCTGGAAGATTTGAGTCTATTATTAAAAAATACTTGGAATACGATGACCCACTTGCGGTTCCGAACAGACGATCGAGAACACTTCGAGGAGCTCACAAACTATGTGTATCCAAACGTCGAGGACTTCCGGTTCGCCACACTATCTTTTCGTTTGGAGGACTCGGATATGATAAAAATAGTCGATTCGTTTCCCAATATCCGGACTTTCAGCCCCCAAGGAAATTTTACTGGAGCTTACATGACTGGTTTCCAACACCTGGAACACCTAACTTTATCGTACTGTTCTAAAGTCTGTGCCTTAAAACTAAGCAGCATTTTATCTACTTTGCTCCCAAAGAGTCTCAAACTGGACATATTTGACCACAAGCAGATCCAACGATATAGTATGCCTCTGGTAGCCATAGCCAATCTGGAGGTACTGCACTGCGATAGCTCTGAATTGACTGGGTGGTTCCTCAATAAACTAGACAAAATGTTTAAAATTAAAACTCTCAAAATAAGTAACAGAATGGGTGATTTTTTAGTCAGACAAATCCTTTTTGAGCTATCACAAACTCGGAGTAAGGTCAAAAGCCTCGAGCTAGCATTGCCTGATCTAGCCGCATTAACTTTGCCTCTTTACGTTGAGATGCAATTTGAGACTGTTGTTATTATAAGTGAAAATCTCGACAGGATCGGATTTAATCATATAGAAATACCAAACATTAAGAGACTTTATTTAATAAGCTCGAGGATAACACAAGAAGATGACTTTGGACACTTTATAAAGGCATTAAAAGCAGCAGAATTTGTATGCTTGAAGGATTGCCAGTTTGGCTTTATGAAATACACATTTTCAGGAAAGGATATTGCCCAGAATCGCAGTACCAAACTTAACCTTTGTATAATTAAAAACAGTTTTCCTGTTAATTCGAATTGTGAGGTAAGTTATGGCGTATGTGTATCGCTATTTCCATGAACTGAAGAAATTTTGTTTCTTTTTAGGTTTTCTCCACTGCCACTAAGTGGAAGGTGGTCGATGAAGATGCACTTTTTGAGTTACACCATGAACTCCCAAAGGAAATGAAATACGAATTCAGCTTTGAGCCTTTCCTCATTCAATTTGAATGAAAATCAATGATACTTACGCTTGTAAACTTGAGATCGCATTAAACGAAACACGCACCCATTGTCTCTTGCATGAAAGTTGAATTTTTATTTAAGTTGCAGCCAATGAATTCAATAGTAATTTCAGTAGATTAACTTATGCTGTTTGACTTTTCAACTCCCACATCCTCCTCATATACCAGGCAATAATTCTTTCTTGAAATGCGCGCGCCAATATGTTTGAAAGGAAAGTAATTGCTAAATGAACTATGAACCAAAAACTGTAATTATCCTTGGCAAATTTTGCTCAATTAAAAAGTGTGTGTGTGTGTGCTACTTCGAATTATTGCGAGGTATTTGGGATAGCTCGGAGCCGATTAACTTCTATTGGTATTTATTGATAGACACATCTGAAAACACTTAGTAACTAGGTATTGATGTCGGCTTTAAGATTTCTTAGAGTTTTTGATTTTGGTTTTCGAATAGTTCGATTGTTAGTTTTATGGAAGTAAAACATTGTGATATCTGTTTAAGTAGTTACCCACCTCTCGTCTTAACCAATATATGTCATTATGCCGTTTAATCGTTAATCGTTTGCATTTTATGATTTAAGTTTAGCTAATTACTCTTTACCCATTTTTCCCGAAAGTAGTTTGCTCTCAAATATTACATTTTGTCCGCCCTTTGGTGGCGAACGATTTTTGCTTAGATTTTATATAATATGCCAGCTTATTCAAAGAAATCCTCGATACATAATTACCGATAATAGTACAACAGTTTTTTTAATATTTATTATTAGAATTATTTTATACGTAATTTACCTAGTTGGGGGCTTTAACAATTAAAGTTTAAATTTCATTTAAACTGGCTTCCTTTCGCGCTCTGATAAGTTACTATGCAGTATAGAATCTATGAATATTACAGCGTAATACGATGCTCAACAAATGTGCTTAAGCCTAGTTAATATGCATAGCCGATAGCTAATCCTTATACACACATTAAATGTCGCCTGATAGCTTAAATATTAAATATACAATACGATGATCGAGTACTTGCTTCAGTTATAACGATTCCAATGTCTTGGTTCCCAAATCCTACAATCTTACTTTCCCCCACTCCCAGTCCCGAGTCCTTTCTTGAAGCAGAAGAGAGCGATAGAGAAGTGGAGCTCTAACACCTAACATACATAGCTATGAGTTATACGTTAATACGTCAATTCTCGTCAAGTTGGAAAACACATTAAAAGTATTGGTAGTAGATTGCTCTATATGCGTCTTATCCTAGCTATGTCTGACTTAACAGCTAGTTATTTTGATTAGATACTTTTGTATTGTTGGTGGCATCGACATCTCACTATTTCTCCCAATGCAACACTTCACTTTGCTTCTAAAAACAGTCTCCACTTGGCTCTATAAATTTAGCTATAACTAATATGTAGAATACACTTGCTTGGTTTAACAGAAAATTCAATCCCCTATTTACAACATCTTATCGATTATCGCTTATAGACTAGAGCGCCTTGTCGTGATCATTGTCCTTAAACGTCCTTGGAGTTTTATTAAATGGGTTTCTTTGGTATACAATTGCGTTAATCCTCCTGCTCCCAATCTGGTGGTGGTATAGCCGAAGAGGTTAGATCAACATCCGCTTGTTGGCTTAGCAGAAGCGTCTGCAAAAATAATCCAATTTACAAGATTCATTAGCAGTGCGGAGGAGGAAACTTTTTGCATTCACGGAAAAGTTCATTGAGATGTTAAGGCGGCCAAACTAAGCAGAAATTTTCGAAATTAATGTTACTTAATTTAACTTTCATGTTGCCTTTGGTAATGGAAATGAAAATGAAAATAAATGAATGGCAAAGATTTAACTGCTGCCACATGCAGATGTGGAGGAGCTTCTCGACCCTCCACCCTCCACCCACCAGCTCCCATCCATCCCGACCCCAAATGCATTGCAAATGGTAACTATTCAAAACTTGTGCGCCCGTCTTTGTAGATAAAATCCAGTTTGGGTTTTGGGTTTGGCTTTTTGGGACTGGAAGGTGGGGGGTGGCGTCGTTTAATTCTAATGGCCCATCTGGCTGCATTGACCGAAATCGGGGCATGCAGATGACAGGTCCGATAAAGGTCTGATAAAACTTTTCCTTTTGAGTGCCCCCAAAGTTTTTCTCCAGCTTGGCGGCTGACGTATTGTTTCCATCAGCCATCAGCGAGTGTTTGGCTCAAAAAACATAAAAAACCGAAACAGAAACAGAAACTCCTTTAGAAGCTGCACTTGCGACCTCAACACTCAGCTCAAGCAATATCAATTTCGGTTCGGGACGAGGGGCTCGTGGCTTGAAACCCTGGATTCCGGACTCAGGACTCTGGACTCGGAACTCGTGTATTGAAAATTGAAACTTGCCAGCCACACAATAACATAAAAGAGAATATGCAATTGCGTGTGCGTCAAATCGATTTGATTCAAGAGGTTTCCCCATTGCCCACTGCCACCGGCCGATCCGGATAACACAATAACAATAACAGGGATACACTTGGAAAAATGCACGACAGAGCGACATACTTTATGATTTCTTGGTAAATAAAAGCTAGGTTAAAGAAGGGACTAGATGTATCCTTGCAGTTCTGTGGGCAATTATAATGAAGATATACATCACAGTATATACAACATATATCCTATCGAGATAGAGGAAATTAAGAAAATTTCTATGAAACAGAGAAATGCGAAGAGTCCTCGCATACCAATATACCTGAAAATTCGGTGATTTGAAAATCACTTTGTAGGTTGGGACTCTTAATGGATCGCATTTTGTATATCGCATTATCGCTCGCAGGATCGCATTTATAAATAATCGAACTATATAAAAACTTTATTTTTATATCAGATACAAACGATGTCCAGGGTAACGTGCCAGGGTATATCATCTTCGGCCACGACCACGTAAGCTTTCCCTTCATTTATTTTCATTGATTCATACATAAATTCTTAAATTTTGGATGATTCATACATTTTTCCAGTTGTAGGAAATTTCCCCAATTCTGTAGAATCGGACACGAGATAGACTTCTTATTTTTGAGCTATGGCGAAATTTCCCCAATTCTGTAGAATCGGACACGAGATAGACTTCTTATCTTTGAGCTATAGAAAGCCATGGGCATCGGTAAGCTACACAGTCTGCGCTGAACTTTTGATTAGTAAGAATGGCTCGTTTTTTTCTCGGTCTGGTGCTGTGCCTCTTTCTTGCCTCCGCTCTAGTCCAGGCGGTTCGCTACAAGCCCTGTGGCGGCTTTTCCAATAAGTCCTGTGTGCCACGCCATTTTTGCCAATTCAGGGATGGCAGTATTCCAAGAAACAGAGGAACCTCAGAGTGTCCAAGAACCCATGCTTGCTGCCCCAACGCGAATATTGTAAGAATCGATCTCTTTATATATATTTTGGCTTATCAGTAACATACGTTTTTAAATTCGAATCTACTAAGAATGAGGAGGCTGTACCAGCTCAATTTGAGCACCGAAACCCTGAAGCAACCGTCAGTGCTGAAACTTCGACTGACACCTCACCAAAAATCATATTTCTGCCGGTTACTCGTATAAATAAAAGTTGGACAGAAACTAACCCTTCCCCGGACCCACTGGAACAACCTCAAATTACTTATGGAGTACATAATTGGAGCCGAAACAAACGGATCTAGATGATGCCGAAGCTGTTCGTTCGACTTCAGGGTATGAGGGTGACACAAATGCAACATTAAATATTATATAATATAACATAATTCAAATTTATAAAACAAGTAATAATTTATTTAAAGTAATTCAATACAGAAATTTTAAAATCTGAAAAATGTCCTCTTTTTTAAGAGACCTACCTTCGCCTCTTCGCATGCACTATCTAGAGTTTCCCGCTGCGGTAGTGGACTGGTCGGTGGCCGCCGAAGAGGATGCGCTTGAAGGCCTGCCGGAACTCCGGGCTAAAAATAGTGTAGATGACCTGAAAAAATAGCAATAGATTAGGATAATGAAAGGTATGAAACAAAATGTTTTCTACATGTTCTAGCCCTGAGTTCATTCAGGATAAAGATTATTAATTTCTAATGGTTCCGAAGGTTCCCACCTTGTTCCACACAAGGTGTATGTGTGGATGATTGGCTTAAAAATGGTGCCATTAGGCTGAAAGTCGATTACCGTTGGGGTCAATTAAAATATCGCCGGTTTAGTTTTGAAAATGGCACGGTTGTGGATGGTTTTTCTCGGGAACTGTCTCTTGTGGAGTGCGGAACGTACTTTCAGACAGGATAGCTCTAAGGTTAATTGTCCATATATCCTCCAAGTCCGAGTGCCAGATGGTGTACAAGATATTAAACCTAGTCTGTGAAAAACTCTTTCCCACTGTAAGCTATTGGAAACAAAAATCCCAACTTTAGTTCCGTTCCAAGACAGTTTCTTCGACAGATTCAGATGCAAATATTAAAGAAGGACTATACCAACCAGTTTAAGCCATTTCTTATCGACGTAAAGGTCAGCTTTTGCGATGTGGTTCAAAAGAAAAGCTACTTCACCTACGGCGTTATATTCTGGAAAATTTTAAAAAAGTTTGCTCTAATGAAACACGTCTGCCCGTTCTAAGTATGTCTATAGACGTTTATTGCACTGCACGGCTTATATTGATTTAATTTTTGTTATCAAGGACGACCTCATAGTTCCACAAGGCTACTTAGAAAGCGATGTTTTGCCACCATTTCCCAAAGGAATTTTTATACCCTTGCAGAGGGTATTATAATTTTATCCAAAAGTGTGCAACGCAGTGAAGGAGACATCTCCGACCCTATAAAGTATATATATTCTTGATCAGGATCACCTCCTGAGTTGATATGAGCATGTCCGTCTGTCCGTCTGTCTGTCCGTCTGTCTGTTTCTACGCAAACTAGTCTCTCAGTTTTAAAGCTATCGTCTTGAAACTTTGCACACATCCTTCTTTCCTTTGCACGCAGTATATAAGTCGGAACGGCCCGGATCGGTCGACTATATCCTATAGCTGCCATATAACTGATTGATCGGAAATGGTATAACTTTGACGTTTTAAAAGTTAGAGAATTCAAATTCGACATGAGAGCATTTTTTGGCAAAACATTACGACATGCAAAATTTCATAAGGATCGGCCGACTATATCCTATAGCTGCCATATAACTGAACGATCGGAAATGACCCAACTTTCGTGTTTTTGAAGATAGAAAGCTGGAACTTGGTACAGATTATATTTTTGGTCAGTTAATCCGACCTACGAAATTTCATTAGGATCGGCCGACTATATCCTATAGCTGCCATATAACTGAACGATCGGAAATGACCCAACTTTTGTGTTTTTGAAGATAGAAGTTTGCGGAATTTTTAGGTTTTGTATTATAATAAATTGGGTTATTTTATCATATTCTTATAAGGATCGGCCAACTATATCCGATGTTTGCGATATATATCCGGTTTTAACTGCAAGGGTATATAAGCTTCGGCTCCGCCCGAAGTTAGCTTTCCTTTCTTGTTTTAATTAATCTTACATTCTGGAGCAACGCAACCATACCCGAGAATTGGGGTACAGTAAAGCCCTTTATGGAAACGAAGGATATGGTCAAGACCAAAAAGAATTCAAGGGTATAAGAGGCATGATTATAAGTGAAAGCACACCAATTTTTTTAATATTCGCTATTATATTCGCATTAGTTGTTTTAAAATTTAGTTATTGTATGTAATATGTCCAATTAAATTTTAAAAGCACATTAACAGTCAAGAGTTCCTAACCCCTGAATGGTGTTCAATGGTTTTTGACCCACAGAAGAATATTTCAATAATTTAAACTATTGTTTTGATTTATATTTTGAATCGAAAAAAATGGGGTTCTTTAAATATGGTAATATTTGTATAAATGTCGAGATTTTTTTATAATGTCAATTAAAACTTTATTAGAGTTTTGGTTTACTGTGTCTATGATTACTACGATTCTATGGAAAGTGCTGGGAACCTGCAATAAAATGTTTCCAGTGTCCAAGTACTTACCGGATTGAGGGTGGAGTTGAAGTACCCCAACCAGAGGAAGAGCGAGGCCACGCTGTCGCTAATCTGACAGGCAGCACAGAGGGGCATCGTTAGGGCCATAACGAAGAAGGGCAGCCAGCAGACCACAAAGGCACCTGTGATGATGGCCAGCGTCTTGGCCGCCTTTCTTTCTCGCTTCGCCTCCAGAGTCTCCTTGCGCTTGTTCACCTTCTGCATGGGATTGGCGATGCTAGACAGCTGCTGCTGCTGCTGTTGATGCGGATGTGGCAGTTGCTGCTGCTGCTTGGGGCGGGACTCTGGGGTTAGGGGGGCGGGACTGGTGGATTCGCAGAGCGGATGCGCCTGGTTGCAGCTCGTCAGCGTGCTGGTTTTAGCCGTCATGGGTCCGGCGGAGGGGGCCACTGCCACTGCAGCCATCGGAGCCACTGGCGGTGAGGTGGGCGTCTGCGGCGACAGCGCCGATATCGACGTAATTGTGGTGGCATTCGACGTACTGGCCCCGCCCCCGCCCCCGGCTTTGGCTGATTTCTGCAACTGCTGCACTTGTTCGAGCTGCTGTTGCAGCTGCGGGTCCTCTAGCACCTCCACCCCATTGGACTTGCACTGGTCCTCCACCTCCAGGTCGTCCTGCTCCTCGCCGCCTTCTGTGGCATTTGGTGTTGGCATTGCTGATGTTGCGGTTGTGGCTGCCAGGCCCTCCTGGTCCAGCTCCTCGTTCGTCTTGCCATTCAGCTTGCCCGAGCTACCAGCCGCTCCATTGACAGCGGACACAGACTTGGCGGTGGCGCCGCCGCCTGAGGACGACGAAGCGGAGGCCTTGCCTTGCTGTTTGGCCAGGGCAACCAGGTGCGAGACAGTGGCTATCTGGCTGCCGGAAGTGCTGGGCACCTGCAATGAAAGCAATGAGGGCTGTAATTAGCTAGGCTCGGCTGACAGTGCTTATTAAAATGGACTTTCCTAACATTTTTAATACAGATTCGAGTACTTTCGTTGGCCTAAGATTAAAGGTCTTATGGAATTAATTTGAATATCTCAAAAACTCTTAAACTTTTATCAAAATACTAAAAATTAAAATTTGAGGCAAACGGGCTAAAGAAATGTATTGCTACTTTATAGAGAATTTGCAACCCGGATCCTCAAAGGACAAAAGATACCTTACCTTAAAAATTCATACCTTTGGAATAATTTTGTATATATGTTTATACCTATATTCTGGGAGTTCTGGTAGGAACTACCTAGTCAGATTGTAGCATCGCCTATAGGACCAGCGGCTCCTATTGTAATCTTTTTAAAAATTTTCTCTTGGTAAAGTTATATACCTTAGATAATTAAGTTATTTTACAATTCGATCTTCTCTTTCATAGACGAGAACTCGCTGAGTACACTGCATACCACGTCTCTTCTAGCCCCAGAAGTATTATCATTCCGAAGCTTCAGTTTAGAAATGTTGTTCTGATGGCAGATTTTTCCAAAGGAATTTGTATTCTTTATTTCTACTTGAGATGGTTTTAAGAATCTACTTATGAAAATATCAGTTCAACTACTCTTATAGAATAAGCTTTATGCATAGATAGGAGGGACTTTGGTAGAGGACTACCAGGTGTCGAGATGGATTAGTACGAGGTATATTGCCAGGACTATAGCTGTCCTTTCTTGTATTAGTTTCATGAAGCACCTAAGGGTTAATCTTTCTTTGAGAATATTTTTCTTCATTTAGAAGGTCCTCTGAAAAAGCTCAGCTTTGCGTTCTATATGCCAAGTATTTCTCCGCATATGTTGGGGAAGGGAGTATTCTCCTACAACAATAGCCCTTAGATACATACGTAACCTACCTAAACACACCTATAAGTTTAAAAAAGTATTTTTCAAACTTAATGCTGATTTCTCTATTTCTGTATACAACTTCTGGGATATTCTCATTCTCTACCTCAAAACGATTACAGTACAACGATTTTTGGGCGGCTTAATCGAATTACTTTCTCCGAATTTGCATTTTAAATCAGTACCAGCATTGCATTCATAAATTTATATACAACTGCTCGGCTCGTCAATTTTCATGGCGTTGGGGCCATAAATTTTGGTAAATGAATAAAATCAGTGTGTAAATATTTACTTTCGTTAAGCTCGTTGGCCATTTGGAGGTTCGTGCCCCTCCCAACCGCCAAGCGTTCCCCATTACCGTCATTTTTATCAGACCTCAGCCAGTCGGAAGGGCTGCTAGTCTGCTGGCCAATTTGTCGGATGTACCTTGTTCATACATTTTCGGGAAGCCGAGTCCTGGTCCTGGTCCTGCTAACGGCTTGTCTAGCACTAAAATTCCCATAATCACCTGTAATTTGAGCCGGGCCGTAGGTGTGCTTCGAGCGGAAGTGGCCGCAAAGTGCTAAAATGAACTTTACGTGTGATAAATTGTGTCTACTTTGCAGCTGGCGCTGGATCTGGGGGCTTAATGTTAGGGATGGGCATTGATGTTGAAGGATGCGTGCGATAGTTCCGTTTCCAAAGATTTTAATCGATGGAAGCCTTTAATTGCAGAGTTCTGTTTCATATTTTTCATTGTCACGAATTTAATCTCTTAGTTTTTTTATAGCCTTTACTTTCGGCCATCGCCTTTTTGGGGAAAAAGAAGCCAAGTTCAATTAATGGGCCGACCAAATGAATTTTATGACGGCAATGCTGCCATAAATTATGAAACATATTGTGGGGAGCCTGTAATTTGTGTCTTTGTAAAGACATTCAAATTCGACAATGTAAAAACGGCCGTTCCGGTTACGGTAACAAAGGACAATGCAGGATAAATCTCCGGACGGAGAGGCAAGTTCCCATCAAATTCAATGGACTTTGGCCAATTGTGCAGAAATACAAAGCAACAAAAGAGTGACCAGTGTGCAGTGGACACGTGTGTGGAGTGTGTAGATGGACGGGTGTCTTTGTCATGGCCCAAATACAAACAAACAATTCGATTTTGATTCAATTCCTGCCCCCAGCATTTTTAATATTATGTTGCAGGGGCCAAGCTCAGCAAAAAAGCAAAGCAAATTGAAGCCAAACCGAAAGACACATCAACAACAAAGCAAAAGGGAGGTAGTTTAATTTATTTGAGAAACTGTAGTACTGTAGTTTCATTTAGATACCTCCGGAACAATGGCGAAATATAGATAAAAGTTGAAAGGGAAAGCATTTCCTCTCTGATTGCAACTCGGGAGGTATTTCACTTTTTTTTTTTCAATTTGCACCTGGTGGAAATATTATTTTCCCCTCTTGTTTCGCTTCAGTAATTATACAGGTGCAAAAAATGTTCTACAATCTCTACCTTATGTAATATTTTTAGTTTCGCCATTTTGTATTTCCTTTTATCGCCATTTTGTATAAGGGTGAGTTGTATTCGTGCGAATTTAGATATGTATGTTAAAGGGAAAGGGAATATCAGACCCTATATGGTATGCATAACGAAGCCTTTTCGCAAAAGTATCGTATGTCGAAAACCAAACTTTACAATATAAGCATGAAGAATGTTTTTTTTTGAAAAGTAATGGTAAGAATAGAATTGAATACTTCATGATTGGCAGGATTGTGGAACACATATTTTATAACAGTCGAACATTAAAATATCCATTTTGGCTTAAAAGTGATATACGACATTTTCGCGGAAATGCGTCGATATAATCTTGAGAAGATATATGTATACATATATATGCATCCGTCTCTAGCAGTAATCTCTAACGCGTAAATCGCATACCGCTTAGAGACTGTAACAGATATTGCTATGAGATTTTGCCTGTGGACTTCGATAATATTTGGATTTTACAATCTATTCCTTTTATTAAAATATTGAATGTATAGAAAGTATAGGGAAGAGTAAGAGACAAGTACCGGGTATCATAAAGTCTTGAAACTCGATTATAGCTATCCCAGTTCAGTTTTTTTCAATATATTCTTATGGACGATATTTTACTTTTCTGTTTGAATAAGCTGGGGACTTTCTGGTCATATTTAACGCACACACAACTATAATAATAAATTTATATATTTGCTCGGGGGCTTGCGTGCGAGAGTGTGTGGGTGCGGGTGTGTCGGTGTTTGTTTATTTATTTGGCTGTCCACTTATTTGCCCAGAAGGGACTGGAAAGGGAAGTGGCCCAAAAAAAGAATCAGCACTGGAGGTGTGTGTGTGTGGTAGCCATTCCCGAGTAAATATTTAATCTCAGAGCCAAGGCTTGAGAAGCGAGAAGCCTTTTTGGAGCGGGCGGATTCTGGCCAAGCGAATGGAAACGAAAGCTGTTAGCCATAAGCCATCAACATATTTTCCTCAATTACTCAAGCGTATTGAGTGCCTTGTTAGGCGGCCCAGAATCTGAATCTGAATCGCAATTGGAATCCACGGGTCAAGAAGCCAAAGGCCTCAAGCCCGACCTCATATACTCCTGTTGCTGTTTTGTTTTCATATCCTTACAGAAAGTATCATGTTTCATCGAAAAATTTGTCCAAATATATGGATTAATTTTTCTCTTTTGTTGAAGATTTCTTTGAACTTTTTTTTAATAAGATTAAGAGATGAATATTAATGAAGTAGCAAAAAAGTTTTAAAGATAGAGTATTTGTTATTTTGGATACTATCTAACCATTTCCTGTTTTCATTTGAATCTCTCTCCGCCGAATTCCCTTTGCTTTTGTCTCCTGTCGGGGGAAAACGAAAGCGTATCCTTGTCACAGCTTATATTTGACTTTGCTATTACTTAACCGGCACGAACCTGGCGATTTCGCCTGGCACGCCTCCTTTGACCTCTGTCTCTGATTCTGTTTCTGTTTCTGGTTGAGGCTCTGTTTCTGTTTCCACTCCGTGCAGTGCCCCGGTCCCCCGTGACCTTTGACCAATCGAGTCGCCTGTGCTTTGCCACCTCGTTTCGACTAGTCCAAAAGGTATTGGCCCCGGCCTGTAGCAATGCAAACAAAACGCCGAAGCAATTTATTTGGGCTCTGCTCTTTTATGACTTGCTTTCGCCCCTTCGCTTTAATGTGTGTTATTATTGAATGTGTGGCCCTGCTCGGATTATTTTTCAGCCATAAAATCGCTGGCCGAAAATTGAAGTACATAAAATGCGGCTAAATACAAATTTTGGAGCTTGGATTGCCCTTCTGAACCGCTTTACCGTTTACGCCTTTCCTCCCCAGTAAACCGTAAGCTTTGCCTGCACTTTATCGCTGACATTTGGTCGAGTCGAGGGTAATTCTCCAGGATTGCCTGGCTTTATCCTTGAGGGCGCGGGTTCTTAGTTCAGCCCCCAATGGCGACTGTTACCATTACCAAATGGACATCAATTTCCTAATTGATGGGCTTATAAAAAGGTAATATAGGGATATACAATTGGCAATTAAAAATTTCAAATCAAAAGATATACTCTTATACTCCATAGCTGGGTGAGTATAAACTTTAAAGGATTATCCCCCGAGACTATTCAATCTTTTGGCTGGATCTCTGCATAATTTAAGCACACCTCCAGGTCGTCCCAGTATGTCGGAGAAAAGGTATTTCCGCACCCGCAAGGCCCCGGGTCATTATCAACAAATGTCGCCCAAGGAATTCTCAAGTGCATATTGCTGCGATGCCAGCTGGCCTAATGAGACATTAGCCAGGAAACAGAAAGGAGCAAGGGATGCTGGAGAATGGCCCTGAAAACAACACTGTGAAAAGGTAGCCAAGAGGAAAAATCATTTCAAAATCCCCAAAGGTGAGAGACTGGCAAAGGGCATATGGCAGTGGGAGTCCCGCTCATAATAAAGCGGGAAATGAGCTGAACTCTACGGTTGGGTTTATTTTTGGTCAGCCTATCTGCTCTCCAGTATCCGGATCCGTATCTGTCCGTGTTTTCGAGTGTGCCGGCCTGCTGGGCTGCCGGGGTGCGTGTGCATTTCAGGGAACAGGAAGCAAAGCCTCGGCTCAGATCGTTGGGCACATGTCAGGCGTTATGAAATTTGCTTTAAACCCAAAAATGCGCATTGTTGTTTCAAAAGGTACACTTAAAGTCTTTCTAAGGTTAGAATTAAGAAATTTAAGAGCATACCCATTAAATAAATTATATAAGTTAGTTCGAAATAAATGATAATAAATGTAGTCTAATTTTAGAATGCTTTTTTTCTATTCACAGTTTACGAACTAATGGTTTCAAAATAAAAAGCAGAACTATTTTAATGTTCTTATCCTACTATTCCTTAAAGCTAAACATTTTAAGTTCGCATTAGGTTTTTTATTTTAATTATAAAGTGTTTAAAAATTAGTTTCAAGATAAAATTTAAAAATAAAATTATACAATTTATTTCTTAATATAATTTAATAAAAAGTTTTTCTTAGAGTGCACCCACATACCTCGATGCCAGCCCGACTCTTGCTGTCCACATTCGAGCTGCTGAACTCGGTGTCCTCGACGGTGTTGACCGTGTTTGTTGAGTTGCCGTCGACTAGGCCCAGAGCCCTGCCCCCGGATCCGGCCCCGGCACCGGCTCCGACTCCGGCTCCACCAGTGCTTCCGGCCTTGGTCTTGGCCGTGGAGAATCTGCCAAGGCGTAAACGCAGTCGATTAAGTTTCGTATCTGTTGCCGCACCTCCGTCCGGCTGAAAGAGAGAGATAGATGCAAAGGGGAAGAATGAGAGGGGGCTAGAGAGACTAGAGAGATGGACGATAAAGTTTTCTAGTTGTATCTGCATTGATTTTTCGCCTTTGACCCGTGTGCATGGCTTCAAATTAAATTCATACTTCTTCGCACAGCATTAAAATGAATAACAAAGGCCGGGCCAGAGCGGGCAAGCTGAAATTTACATTTTCGGCTTTTTGTGCTGCCTTACGCTTCAATAAACCGCAATTTGTACGCATATCCAAAAAATTGGGTGAAAAAAACGAGAAAAAGTTGAAGTCGAACCGAAGGATCCCATCCGATCCGATCCCCTTTTTTTGTGTCCGCATTATTGTTCTCTGGCTACCATATGCATATGTAAGTGGGTTGCGTCCCGTAAATAAATTGTGTGTATTTGTAACAGTCACCCAGTCAGCTAGGCAGCCAGGCAGCAAGCCACCCAGGAGTAAGCATCCTGCCACCCAACGGGGTATCCTGCCGGCTGGCTCAAAATAAATTTCACGTTTGACTGCTCTCAGCGCTTGACCTCTTTGATTTTTTGTTCTCAGCCGCGTATCCTTTTATTTTGGTATCCTCTAAGGGTAGTGTATTCAGTGTTTTTTTTTTTGAGGCCGATGAACTTTCTATTTTGGGAATAAGTCATAAGAAAAACAAAAGAGATCTTCTTGGAACCAAAGTTCATATCTATACATATTTGTCTCTTTTTTAAGCTGCTTCATAATTAGCTCACTTTTTTTTAGAATTTCAACAATTCTTGACAGTGTAGACCAAGTTCGATGTTTCGCCACTTTTTTTGAGGCTTTTTGTCGCTTTCAATCCCACCAAATTAAAGTAATTGAGTAGTCGAACCCTTTGCCATCTGCCCTGCCTCGTCATCTTTGTCGACTGCTGACCCTTTGGCGAGTCGATATTGCTTTAAATAAATAAAATTATGCTGATTTGGCCTGCGTGTGCGGAAAAAGGGTTCGAGCTTCGAAGCACTACAAAATGATGTGAATATTTGCGCAAATAGTATTAAATGGGTTTACAGCTCCCACGCATGCCTGACCTTCATTTTGTGGGAAAGTTCTCCTCAAGTATCCTGCGGGTTGACGAAGCACCCCGGATGCCAGTACCACATAGTAGTTTGCTTTGAGAGCCCGGCTGTCGGTCAGATGGCTTATTAAATATTAAAGAGTTTAAGCTTAATTAGACACAACATAAAAGCAGACGGAAGACGGGTTCGCCAGTGAAATGAGATATCCCCCCGGGGAGAAAACTATAGTCTGCCCGAAATTAATAAATAACAGGCCACCGGCACCGGTCGAGATATTCTGCTAAAGTTTCTTAGCCGAAAATTCTAGGTGGTGTGAAATTTCAATTGCTCCAGGTTCCATTGATTTTCCACACAAATATAGAGGGGGTATCTTGTAGGTATGTTCTAGGCCAGGGAAAAACCATTATAGTCGATGCCTTGAAACGAGCATTAGACAAACAATTGCCTGGCAACTTTTCCACGGGGAATTGCTGTCACTCGAAGTCGAAGGAAAAAAAAACTAAAGTATCTGGTACTCACTTAAATACCAAGGACTCACTGCAAACAGGACTCGATAGCACACACACACATGTGATAAGAGCGATAAGCGCTCTCTTTTCAGCAGCTTGGCAATAACGATAAGGATATGGATAACCTCAGCTCAATGCGAATTTTATGCAGATGTGCTGTCAGCCGAGGTTCTTTTGGCCCGTTTCCGTTTTGGCCGTTTTGGCCTTAGTCGTTTCAGTTTTTGCTTTTGCGCCAGTGTGTATTTAAGCGCTTGCATAAACGATACACTCAGCCTGTCTGCCCTCGTCCTTTTAGCCATTTCTGGCACTTTGGCTAATTTATGTAAATTGTTTTCTTATTTAATTGTTTTTCTTGCCAGGACATGTGTTTAGCTTCCGAAAAAGAACGCACGAGTGTCTGTGTGTGTGTGTATTCAATAATGTGTTTTCATGCGATTTATGTTGGTCCTGAGTGTGACAAGAATGTCCTGGTATTAACTACACTGGGCAGCAAAATTTATGGCTAGGCCAGGGCATAGTCTCCATTGGGAGCCTAGGAGGCAAAAATTAAAATAAATCCGCCATAAATAAAGTCAAATCAAATACACAAACTGAAAATCATTAATGGCCATAATAGAGACTACATTTGATTCTTGGCAATGAACATAAATTAAGTTTTAGCTTTAAATAAGCTTTAAAATATTATGTGTGCCTATGTCTGCTACTTTCTCGCTATTTTGTTGTCTAGTTTGCTGACTAAAGTGGCAGGAGCTTACTTTCTTTTTCGAGAAGGACAAACACGTCTCCTCATGTCGCAGATGGCGAGTTGGCCAAATATGCTTTTCACTCAAGCCGCTTTCTTCGATGTTTTGTCATATGTTTGGCCATGAAAATAGTGTCAATATCTGGCGCAATCAATTCGAGATGTTGTTGCAAATGTAATTGTGATGATGGTCCACTGAATTCGAAGGCGGCACACGTATGTACATGTATGTATGTTCTATGAGAGGCCTGCCCTTAGGCATTTTTGTGTCCTTCGATGTCGGACTATTAATAACATTTGTTCGCCAACAGTCCGTGCATAATGCCAATGGCCGAATTACAGATTATACCTGCTTTCTTTAATTGCATTTCCTTCCCTATCATTAATTGCCAAATCAATGGGATATTAAATATAGGTTTAATGCTTCAAGGATTTAAATAATTTAACCCAAAAATTATTTGGCAATTTGTCCGCCATAAATGCTAAATTTCTGATTGCCACCATTAATGCTATAATGGCTTCAAAAGCAATTAGTTGGAAATTTATTATAAAATTATCGCCACAGCGGGATGATAAGGAAAGAATACATTTCCATGCACCCTCGTCAAGGAGCAGGAAAGCAATTTTTAATCTGAAAAGAATTTAGCTTTCAAAGAAGAAATAATGACACCCAATGAATAGCATAAAATAATTCTAACTATTTATATCCTTTTAAATCCTGAAAAATTGTTTTATTCATTAAATTACAACCTCTATGTGGCTCCGATTAGAAAAATCTCTGGTGAGTTTGAAAAATTCTTTTAATTCGATCCTCTAGTTCCCAGGACGGGTGTAAAGGATGTTTCAAATGAGTGGCAGGGTGTGTGTATGTATGTGTGTGAGCTGGGTAAATATATTCTAAAATCAACAAGCAGGTCAGGGAGTGAGTGCCACTAAATGGATGTGGAGCCATGGCTGTGGACGAGGGTGTGGGCTGATGGGAGTTCGGTGTTGGGTGTGCCGGCCTCGGTGTGCGGGTAAGTGTGTTGACATGTAACTAAAGCACGCATGTGAAGCTAGATTGGGCCGGACATCAGAGCAGGACATCAGAGAGAAGGATATCAGGACAGCACATCGGGGCAGGACTTGGGCCGGGACATGTGTACGATTGGCAAATAGTGGACAACTTGTCTTGTTTGCGCATTGAATTTGTGATTCCAATGACTTTTTGCCAGCTCCTATACACACGTGTCTCCGGACAGTTGAGGTCGCAATAAAAGTTGTTCATTTTGAAATTACAGCGGATTCTATCAGAGATTTGGTTTTAGCATTTTCCAAATTGAATTTTGATTTTTTTGACTTTTTTTTACTTGCATGTAGCTATTTTTGTAGCCACAATTGTGTCTCCAAATGCTCACATGTGTTGGTAAGTGGTTGCAAACATTTCTACGTCAAATGGTCATTTTCAATTTAGTAAGCACTAAGCTTAAGTTAAGTAGCAACTTTCCGGCAGGTCAGGCCCAGATTCGAAAAAGAATATATACACAGGGGGGTGTATAAAAAGCCTGGATTAAGTGAACAACAAAACAGGGAAAGGTGGCTTAAACAGGGAGTTACATTCAGCTGTAGGTACTCTATCGGGAAATTAGAAAAGAAAAAGATACATGTCTGATTCTTTGAAAGAAATTAGTTTTTAATTTCGTTGATAAAAAACTTTTTCCAAAAAATAAAAAAGGAGACAAGAGAATGGCAACATCGTGTGTGTATTAGTTTGACCAGCTGTCACATTAGGGGCGAAACTTATTCTTACAGGATACACACACCCACCCAGACAGGCCAGTCAGGACAAGCTGATGCTTCCAGGACGGCCACTTATCGCTCAGCTTTCAGACAAAAAGGCTTTAATGTCCACGTGGCGTATACTTTACGTAAGCCATCTTCTACTTGACCTTCCAGCTCGGATAGGTAGGAATACCAAATATCCTCGCAATGCATATTTCATCACATCGGATGATACAACTTAATTACACAGACCATTCCCTTTTGGTCGTGAGGTCATGTTATGCATATTTAAATTGGACCCCATAATTACCAACGGCCTCAAGTCATGTGCATAGAAATTTTCGAAAACGTTGCCTGCGGTTTGGCCTTTGACTGACTGACCCTTGTCTCTGGCTCGAAATTGTGGTGGGGATTCTGGGTGGTATTGACCAAGGGTCGGGGTCATCGGGCGCAATGTGTATGGTTTGTTGGTCGCGGAGAGGCGTATTGCGTTCGAGTACATAATTGCAATGATTGTCGACATTTTCGAGAAGGGGGCTTGAGAGGATACAGGGAATATAGGGTATATTCCACACATTAGCTTTGCTTTAATAATTTATTTTAAACTTTATTTAAAAACAAGAAAGCAAAGCTAACTTCGGGCGGAGCCGAAGTTGATATACCCTTGCAGCTAAAACCGGATATATATTGCAAACATCGGATATAGTTGGCCGATCCTTATGATTACATCATAATAAAACCAATCAATTACAATAAAAAATCGAAAAAAAAGTCCCAAGCTTCTATCTTCAAAAATACAAAAGTTGATATTTCTACCAAATACCATTTCCGATCGTTCAGTTATATGGCAGCTATAGGATATAGTCGGCCGATCCTAATGAAATTTGGCATGTCGTATTATTTTGCCAAAAATAGCTCTCATGCCCTCTAACTCTAAAAACACCAAAGTTATACCATTTCCGATCAATCAGTTATATGTCAGCTATAGGATATAGTCGGCCGATCCCGGCCGTTCCGACTTATATACTGCGTGCAAAAGAAAGAAGGGTGTGTGCAAAGTTTCAAGTCGATAGCTTTAAAACTGAGAGACTAGTTTGCGTAGAAACAGACAGACGGACAGACGGACAGACGGTCAGACGGACAGACGGACATGCTCATATCAACTCAGGAGGTGATCCTGATCAAGAATATATATACTTTATAGGGTCGGAGATGTCTCCTTCACTGCGTTGCACACTTTTGGACAAAATTATAATACCCTCTGCAAGGGTATAATTAATCATTATAATAAAAATCATAGCTATAATAATTATTTAGGGTTCCTGAAAATTTCACGTTTTAATGACCCACCTGATTATTATTAACCGCTCCATCGACGGGCCTTGGTCGACGACGGTGTATGCGTTTCCGGGCCGTTTGGTAGATTTTCCAATAAAGCGCCAATATGACCATTAGTGGCACATAGAATGTGCAACAAGTGGCAAATACCTGTAACCAAGGGTTGATACTTCCGTTTTAAACAGAATATTCACATTATCTTACCTGATACGAGACATCCTGGGAGACCATGCACTTTTGCTGTTCGATGCGTTGCAAATAGTCAGGATCCTTCCAGCCAAATTGTGGGGCCAAGGATACAATCACTGCAGCGGTCCAAACGCAGAAAATCATCATAAAGACGCGATTACTGGTCCTCGAGTGGATGTAGTCAATATTGGTCACCGCCCAGTAACTAAAACAACAACAAACAAAATAATAAAACAAATTACTAAATAAACTATTATTATAAATTACTTTTTTATATGTATATACATTGTATATATGTTTGTACATTGTATATATTTTTGAACTTCTAAGTTTTATGTTTATATTTTATTATAGACATATAATATACATTTAATGCTAATGTTCAGTTTTAAGCACAATACATATCGCGGTTTAAAATTCATATTTATATGAATTCTAAGAAATTTCTAAGAAATACCGTTTCTAAAAATTTAAATGGAATAAATTCCATTTATATTATCTATAAATAGAATTTTATTTCATTAAAACCGACAGAAACAATTATAAAAATGGACAAAGTCGAAGCTTGTATACCTTTCCCCCGTAAAAAAAATTAAGAAAAAATTCCCAAGTCGATAGCTTTAGTTAAATTAAGACTAGTTTGGTTAGAAACTAAGAAACGGATAGACGGACTTGTTGCATAATTTTTGACAAAAACTAAAACAATCTCAACACGGGTATGATTATGATTTCCAGTTTAATACAATCTCTTCTCCCTCTATGGGTAAACCCAAGATAGAGGAATCGTCCCAAGCGGCTCTTATCACCATTGCGGTTACTTTTGGAATCATCTGCAACAAACCGCCGATTCAAAATTTCCCATTTCTCAGAAAACCATGCCGCGTACTGACCGCAAACCTTGAAGTGCCAGCCACAATGCTTTAAAGTTTAAACTGAAGCCGAGGCTGGGGCAAGCACGTGTTTATGTATTAATTAAATGCAATTTGCATAAACAAATATTATTTTGGCTTGTCGAGGAGGTCGACTCTGGCCCGTGTGGGCATGTGTGTGCCTGAGCCTGTGTGTTGTTGTGTAAGTTGAAATCAACAATTAAATGAGTTGACAAAGCACTCGAAATGAGCCATGGATAGATAGATAGTATCTATGTACGTACAGAGTCGGGGCAGAGATGCGGCAAGTGGCAGGGCAAGTGGCATGTGGCGTGTGGCAAGGGTAAACCGATGCCAAGTGCCGTTGCGGCCATAGAGCATAATTTAATTTGTCTACAATTGGGCACTTAAACGACAGCTTTATAAATATTTGGGTATGCGTGAGTGAACCCAATAAAGTGTCACTCGATAGAGGCCGCTTAAAACCACGCCTTGGACTTGTATAGTTTCCAACGAAGCGACTGGGTGTCTTCAGGCTTATCAGGCATACGCCGTGGGGTCATCACACATAATAAATTATTGTGACTGCTGGGTGGACGATGAGTTATGTTGTACGTCTTAACCTGGACCGACTGTCTCATCGTGAAATATATATATCAGTTTTTTTCCCATCTAGAAATTGGCCTCGGGGTCATTAGCATAATATAATCGACTTCAAGTTGCCTATTTTGATTGACTGCTTAAAATTAATGGAATTTTGTGATTTCGCTGTCACTGCTCCGCGAAAAAATACGCACATATATAGGTATTTGAATACATTATATATTTATTTACTGAATAGACCCTTTTTGAAAGGACTCGGTGCGCCGTGCATACGCAATGAAAAATCCATGCAAATTAATAGCGAAACCTAATAAAATGTCTGTCATGCTTTTGTCAAAGTACGAAGTCGGGTCTGCAATCTGTATGAGTCATACGCGGAACGGGTGATAATATATTATAGGATGAAATATTCCCTGCCCTGGCTGTTGCTTTCTCTTCCATTAAAATTCAATTCAATTGAAGTCAATCAATTTGCGACAAGAGTGTCTGGCGATGTTCGTCACCGAGTTGGCTTGAGTGATGAATTATAACAATTTATTTGTGAGCCAAACAATTTAAATCCGATTTTTCCATTATGCCCTGCCACTGATCCAAGTCGGAGCCAGGGAGTGGAGTGTGTGATAAATGTGTGGCACTCGAGTGTAACACTTTGTAATGCATTTCAAAATTTCGCGCCTAGCACACAAAAAAGTCATTACTCTTTCAATTTTAACGGGAAAAGTCTTACAAAAAGTCCATCTAAACAGGCTGGAGTTTATTGATGGAAGTATTCAAAGCTTTTTGCTAGGATTATGCATCATTATTTTAAGTGTCATATTAAGTGGTTTCTCAAATAATTGTTTTTTAAATCTCGTATCTTTTTATTTTTTTTTCATGGCCGCAAATTCACTTAGAACAATAGGTTTTGAATTGGCATTTTGAGGTATACATAATTAATTAAAATTTCCATATATTGTCATGTGGTGACAGTCAATATTTATCTACGCATCTGGATCAGTTTATCACTTTTTCAATTCACAATTAAATGCATTTTTAATGGCTGTTGCCAGCTTTTTGTGTTTTATGCTTTATGACTTTATTTTTTCTATTGTTTATGCAAAAAGTAACCCTAACCTTTCCGGTTATCGGTTTTTATACTCTTGCAGAGGGTACTATCATTTTGGTCTATATAAAGTATACCATAGTATATATATTAGTATATATTTTCGATACGCAGAGAGAGACTAGCTTAAGGTCTTAAGGTACATTAACTTCGGCTCCGCCCGAAATATTCTTTCAGTCTAGTTTTTAATTAAAAGAAGCTTACTTCAGCTGCTCTCTAAGATGCGAGAATAAAAAAAATCTTAATCAAAAAGTTTATATGTATTTACCTTCCGGTGTATTGCGACAAAAAAAGAGAATATGGTGATAAGGCAGAAATACAAATATTTTTAAAGAATGGAGGTAGCTTGTCTTAAATACGATGGTAATAAGTGTGGAGTTGAAGCAAAGAGCAAGGGGTCAAGAAAATCGTCTTCATTTGCTTGTATATTATTATTTTCGTCATAAGAGTACAATGCAGGAGACATCTCCCACCATAGAAATATATGTCATGAACAAGATTACCTCAAGATGAGCATGTCAGTCTGTATATTAAATTGTTTCTACGCAAAACAGTATTATATATCCATTTTAAATATATATTTTAAAAAATATATATAGTATAGCTAACCTATATGTAAGTCAAATCGCTTTTCTACATCCTTTATAAAAATCTGGATTTATTTAATTGCCTTATAAATATCTGTGCAATCGGAATTGTCATAACTTTGGAATGATTAAAGATTAACGGTGGGATTTTCTTCATATTTTATTTCTTAATCAGAAATGCCAATTCCGAGAAATGCTCACGCATACAATCAGAATCGCCCTCGAGTCCAAGTCGTTATCACAAAGCTATATAAAGCCAGAGGTAGCTCTAAGCTAGACATTCTGTGTTAAATTGTTAACTAGTAAGAATGGCTCGTGTCATTCTCGTTTCGATGCTGTGCCTCTTTCTGGCCCTAGCCGTAGTACAGGCGGTTCGTCGTAAGTCCTGCGGCGGCAGTTCCAAGAAATCGTGTACTCCGCGTTATTTGTGCAATGTCGGTGAAGTCGATAAGGATTCTGGTAATTTCGTCGGAACGTTTCGAAACAGTAACGATAGCTTAGAATGCTCAAGCACGCAAATTTGCTGCTCTATTGAGAATATTGTAAGAACCAAAATCTCTCTAAAAAATTATGGCTTATCAGTAATAAGAGCTTTTTCAGCAATCAGACTCTACAAAAAAGACTGTGCCAGCCCCAACTCAATGTGGGCACCACAATCCTAAAGGTCTCACATTCTACACAAAATCCAAGGACTACGCCCAGGAGGGTGAGTTTCCATGGGTAGTCGCCCTAATGAGCCTTGATGATTATACTTACAAGGGCGCCGGATCCCTGATCGCCGACAACTTGGTGCTCACAAGCGCCTCCAAAGTGAGGGGAGAGGACGAAAACTCGCTCAAGGTACGTGCTGGCGAATGGGATATGAAAACCACTACCGAGCACTACGCCAGCGTGGAATCTCGCATCTCTCGTATCATACCCCATAAAGACTTTGATGGAAGATCTCCTGCATACAATATTGCCATACTGGTCCTCGATCGTCCATTCCAGCCACGGCCTCACATTTATCCCATTTGCCTGCCGTCGTGGGGTGAGACATTCGACTTATCCAACTGCATTACCAACGGGTGGGGTCAGAAAAACTTTGACGACGTAAGTAACGTGCATGTCATGAAGAAAGTCGAAGTTCCTGTGGTTCCTGCCAGGATATGCGAGCAAAAGATAAGTGGGGCTCTTAAGAAACCGTTTAATTTGCACAAGAGCCTCCTTTGCGCCGGTGGAGAGAAGGGCAAGGACTCTTGCTTGGGAGACGGTGGTGGACCCCTTGCGTGCCCAATGGGGAATGATCGTTCCAGGTTCGTGCTGGCAGGCATCGTTAACTGGGGCATAAAATGCGGCGTGGAGGATATTCCGTCCGTGTACACCAATATAGCCAATATGCGCCCTTGGATCGACCAGTTTATGAACAGTGATGCCAGAACAAACCCAAACGACATTGACCATACTACTGAATCTCGTCCAGTTTCTCATTCCACCATAGCAAAACCCATATTTAATCTGCCACCTAAAAAACTAGAACCAAGTTCTACCCCTTCGCCTACCACACCTTCAACAAATGAAGACAAGGATAAAGTATTAGAATCCGTAGAAGGTAATGTTGCTGATGATGATGAGGATGATGATGACGTAAATCGTCTCGTCAACTAAGAACGAGTTAAAGTAATACACATTAACGTCATAAAAAAAATTAATGTGTATTCGTAAAAAAAATTGTGACCATAAAAATAAATATACAAAAAAAAAAAATACTTCACTTCAAATGCAAATACTAAGGGTGACTAAGGGTGGTGCTAATCTGGTGACACGCAGTGTATATTATTATATATATTGGATTGGATAAATTAGGCCAATCTTTACAAGAATTTTTCTATCACACCACTTTGTTAAAATATTATTTTTATAAAAAGTCTCAAGCTCCTATCTTTACAAACACTATAGTTATAGATGCGGTCGTTCAATTATATGGTACATATAGGAAATAGTCGAAAAATACAAGAGGAAACTTGGAAGGTCCTTGAAAATTCCTTACAGAAAATAAATCTAACGAAACTTAATAATTTATGCAAAGATATCATGCGGTCTTAAATTTATAAATTCTGTCATTAAAACATCATTAAAACAATAACATCATAAATCATTAAAACAGATCCATGGGTTCATTTCATATTACTAAGCATCATATTATATATGTAAATTTAACGCCAGAGAGCTCCACTTGGCAGTTTTTGATGCATTGCGTCGATTAGATGAAATAAAAAAGAAAGGATGGCTAAGCCGAGTTTTCCAGACATATTATACCCGGTACTCATCTCTTCCAAACATAATTAATGTTTAAAGGTATGGAAAAGTATGGCATCAAATCATTTACCAAAAACATAAATGAAGTAACGCTAGAACGATATTTCTGTTTTGGTGGCGGAAGTAGGCATGAAAAATTTTTATCGACGCGGATACCATATAAGTGCAAACCCTATAGTTCTATCTCTTATAGTCTCTTAGATCCAGACCTTCAGACGGACAGAGGGAAGGACGGACGGACAGACAGACCGAAATGGCTATTTTGACTCGGTCGTCGATGCTGATTAGGAATGAATATACTTTATGGAGTCGGATATATTCTTTATTGGGGTACCTCCTGAGTTGATATGAGCATGTCCGTCTGTCTGTCTTTTCCTAAGCGAACTTGTCTCTCAGTTTTAAAGCTATCGACTTGAAATTTGGACACACCCTTCGGAACAGCCGTGCTCGGCCAACTACTATATTCTATAGCTGCCATATAACCGATTTGTTGGAAATGCAATTACTTTAGAGTTTTTAGACTACGAGAGTTGGGATTTTCAACGGACTTTATTTTTTCCATACTAAAAATATTGATTATTCATGATTTAAATTTTTCTCTCAGAGAATAATTATTATTTGTAATTTTTTAAATAAAACTCATTTAAACAAACTCATACTAATTAAAACAATACCTTTCGTTTGGTACGATTTTTTCTCTCAGATAATAATGATAATTTGTGCTTTCTTAAATAAAACTCATAGTGATTAAAACCAACTTATACTAATTTAAACAATACCTTTCGTTTGGGACGTCACATATTCAGAGCATTCTAGGGCATACAGTTCGTCACATTGTGGACGTCACATATTGTCCATAGCTGCCATATATCTGGGCAATCGGAATTGTCATAACTTTGGTATGATTGAAGATTAACGGTGGGATTTTCTTCATATTTTATTTCTTAATCAGAAATGCCAATTCCGAGAAATGCTCACGCATACAATCAGAATCGCCCTCGAGTCCAAGTCGTTATCACAAAGCTATATAAAGCCAGAGGTAGCTCTAAGCTAGACATTCTGTGTTAAATTGTTAATTAGTAAGAATGGCTCGTGTCATTCTCGTTTCGATGCTGTGCCTCTTTCTGGCCCTAGCCGTAGTACAGGCGGCTCGTCGCAAGTCCTGCGGCGGCAGTTCCAAGAAATCGTGTACTCCGCGTTATTTGTGCAATGTCGGTGAAGTCGATAAGGATTCTGGTAATTTCGTCGGAACGTTTCGAAACAGTAACGGTCGCTTAGAATGCTCAAGCACGCAAATTTGCTGCTCTATTGAGAATATTGTAAGAACCAAAATCTCTCTAAAAAATTATGGCTTATCAGTAATAAGAGCTTTTTCAGCAATCAGACTCTACAAAAAAGACTGTGCCAGCCCCAACTCAATGTGGGCACCACAATCCTAAAGGTCTCACGTTCTACACCAAATCCAAGGACTACGCCCAGGAGGGTGAGTTTCCATGGGTAGTCGCCCTAATGAGCCTTGATGATAACACTTATAAGGGCGCCGGATCCCTGATCGCCGTAAACTTGGTGCTCACAAGCGCCTCCAAAGTGAAGGGAGAGGACGAAAACTCGCTCAAGGTACGTGCTGGCGAATGGGATATGAAAACCACTACCGAGTACTACGCCAGCGTGGAATCTCTCATCTCTCGTATCATACCCCATAAAGACTTTGATGGAAGATCTCCTGCATACAATATTGCCATACTGGTCCTCGATCGTCCGTTCCAGCCACGGCCTCATATTTATCCCATTTGCCTGCCGCGGTGGCGTGAGACATTCGACTTATCCAACTGCATTACCAACGGGTGGGGTCAGAAAAACTTTGACGACGTAAGTAACGTGCATGTCATGAAGAAAGTCGAAGTTCCTGTGGTTCCTGCCAGGATTTGCGAGCCAAAGATAAGTGGGGCTCTTGAGGAACCGTTTCGATTGCACAAGAGCCTTCTTTGCGCCGGTGGAGAAAAGGGCAAGGACTCTTGCTTGGGAGACGGTGGAGGACCCCTTGCTTGTCGAATAGAGTCTGATCGTTCCAGGTTCGTGCTGGCTGGCATCGTAAACTGGGGCGTAGAGTGCGGCGTGGAGGATATTCCGGCCGTGTACACCAATGTCGCCACTTTGCGCCCTTGGATCGACCAGATTATAAGCTATTATGCAAGAACACAACCAGCCGTCAATTACGATACTACGACTTCTCGTCCAGTTGGTTTTTCTCCAAACCCTAGACCCACTCGGACCCTCACGTTTAATCCGCCCTCTAACAAAAAACAATTCATGGGACAGGACCTTTCCCATAGTCCACTTTCGACTAATGAAGATAAGAACGTTGATAAGAATGAAGATATCGTTCAAGATGATGACATAACGGTTCTCGAAAACTATAAACTTTAATAAAAAAAATATGTTTCTTTAACTAGTAAAAAAGCTTGTACTTCATAAAAGTTTATATTCTTGGTGAATTTCTTTATTATTAATCAAATTAAATTAATAATTGTTAAAAATAAAAAAATTTATAAAAACGGGAAAGGAACTTGTCGGATTTTTTTATAAGTGGCTTGCCGGTTCGTCACTTTTACTATACCTCGTCAAAAGGCTTTTTTTTACACCCTTGCAGAGGGTCTTTTAATTTTGGTCCAAAGTGTGCAACGCAGTGAAGAAGACATCTCCGACATCTATAAAGTACATATATGTATATATTCTTGATCAGGATCACCTTTGGAGTTGATATGAGCATGTCCGTCTGTCTGTCTATCGACTTGAAAATTTGCACATACCCTTCTTTACTTTGCACGCAGTATATAAGCCGGAACGGCCGGGATCGGCCGACGTTATCCTTTAGATGCCATATAACTGAACAATCGGAAATTACATACTTTTGTGTTTTAGAAGACAGAAAGTTGAAACTCCGTACAGATTCTGTTTTGGCTCAGTTGATCTCACCTCCCAACTAATTTTATAACGATCGGCCGACTATATCTTATAGCTGCCATGGTAGAAATGCCATGGTTTTTTGTTATATATTTTATTTTAATAAATTGGTTATACTATGATATTCTCATAAGGAACTATATCCGACGTTTGCGATATATATCCGCTTTTAACTGCAAGGGTATATATATATTCGGCTCCATCCGAAGTAAGCTTTCCTTTCTTGTTTGATAATATATTAGATTAGGCTTTGCTCATATAACTAGGTCTAAAAAATAATAACTAAGATTTTATTTTTTTCTTTGGTCAGGCGGATTTCTGGGATCACAATCATAATGGAAACTGATCCATGAGTCAATTTCTTATCACTAAGCTATATAAAGCCTGGGGCTTCTCTACGCTAGGCAGTCTGTTTTAAAATTTTGAATAGTGAAAATGGGTCGGCCCGTTCTCGTTTCGATGCTGTGGCTCTGTTTAGCTGCCGTTGTGGTCCAGTCGGCTCGGTACAGGCCCTGTGGCGGAAATTCCAATAATTCGTGTGTGCCGCGGCATTTGTGCAATTACGGAGAAGTTGATGAGACTTCTGGTAAGATGGTCGGAACGTTTCGAGGCCATAAGATAGTAGAGTGCTCAAGCACCCAAATTTGCTGTCCCAATGCAAATATTGTAAGAATCGAGCTCTCTTTAAAAAAATGTTGCCTTATCAGTAAATCGACTCTTCACAGACAATAGAATCTTCAAAGATGATTGTGCCAGTTCCACCACAATGTGGGCACTTCAACCCTAGTGGTCTGACCTTCTACACCAATTCAAGTGACTACGCCCAGGAGGGCGAGTTTCCATGGGTGGTAGCCCTAATGAGTCTTAACAATACTTATAAGGGCGCCGGATCCCTGATCGCCGACAACTTGGTGCTCACAAGCGCCTTCAAAATGGTCGGAGAGAACGAGAACTCGCTGAAAGTACGTGCCGGCGAATGGGATATGGAAACCACTACCGAGCATTACGCCCATGTGGAGGGTCTCATTCACCAGATCATACGCCATCCAGACTTTAGCATTACATCTGCTGCATTTAATATTGCCATACTGGTCCTCGATCGTCCATTCCAGCGATCCCCTCACATTTATCCCATTTGCCTGCCGTCACAGGGTCAGAAATTTGAATTATTCCATTGCATTACCAACGGGTGGGGTCAGAAAAATTATGAGGACACAATCAACGTGAATGTCATGAAGAAGGTCACGGTTCCAGTTGTACCTGCCCAAATGTGCGAGGAGAAGATAAGTGCGGCTCTTGAGAAACCGTTCAAATTGCACGAGAGCCTGCTCTGCGCCGGCGGGGAGAAGGGCAAGGACACTTGCTTAGGAGACGGCGGAGGACCTCTTGCCTGTCCGCTGCCGGATGATCATGGCCGGTTTGTGCAGGCCGGCGTCGTTAACTGGGGCTTGGAGTGCGGGATCGAGGACGTTCCGGCCGTGTACACCAATGTCGCCAATATGCGCCCTTGGATCGATCGGATTATGAACGGCTTTGCCATTCAAACAGACTTAGCCAGTATCGATAATTCGAAAGCTTCTTCTCTTTCCAATTCTCCGGAACCCGACGAAAAGAAAATAAAGTTTCTGCCGGTTACTCGTAGGAAAAGTCAGCCACCCCCGGTTCCTTTTCCTAACGTAAATAATAATTAATTATTTATTTATGATTTCGAATCGCGGGCTCCCCTGCGACGATATTAATAAGATATTTTCTAATATTTCGAATGGTTTCTAATAATATGTACATATGTTATTACCTTTTGGTCTACAAGAATTTTCTTCATTATATTTTACCATCGAAAAAATACAAGCTTTTTCTTTAAGATTGGCCTTTTAATAATTTTCATTTTGTTAACGAGTGTTTGGGATTTAAGATAATCTAAAACGTTATGTATAGTATTTTTTATTTTTTCCCTATTTATTAAATGTGTCATATGTTTTTTTCTGTGGTTTAACGTTTTAAAATGTAGCTGATAAAGCCAATGGGTATTTTCCAAATGTGATTTTTTGTTTTGTGTCTGTTTTGAAATGTAGTCTGGGGTCTACATTAATATAATATATATAATATATAATATATATATTATATATATAATATATATATATATTAAATATATATATATATATATATATAAATATATATATTATATATATAAGAGATAGATCTTTAAGATGGAAGGTGAAAATCTGTAATACCCTACAGGCACTTAAGGTTTGTTTCGTAGTTTTCCAGTCGATCTTTTAATTTTCATAGTTTGTCTAAAAAATGCAATAATATTTTTATAAAAAAACCTAAAAAAAATTTTTAATGGTTGATTATAGAAATATAAAATATAATCATTCTTCAGTCTTAGTTTCGAAGCTTCGCTGCCTAATTTTTAGGCTCTCAATGTGTCTGTAATGCTTACAACAAAATTCAATTGAAAACGTGATTGCGTGTCCAACTTTTAAGGAGATGGGCCAGACGCCATTACAGCACTTTGCTTCTCGAGTGTCCTTTTGTGTTTTCGTTTTTTGGTCAAAACAAGTTAATATTGCGGGCCAAAGTGCTTGTTGCGCCACCGGCTGATTTTTATAGAAACGTAGTTTATAGTTTTGCAGATACATTCAGTATCTTATTTCGTTTCCTGCGACTCCCTTGGATCGGGCAGTTTGGCGTACTTTTGTGAAACATACGTTGTGTGCCTTCCCGTATACTTTTAATAAACGTAACAAGAATTATCCATAAAACATTGTGCCGAGTCTTTGTAAAAGTTTTCTAGCTGCGGCACAGCTGGTGCAGGATGCGTCTTTTTTGATTACAGGACCTTTGCTTTGGGGCAAGTTGGTGCACAGTGGCGGGTCGAGACATATGAACTCTAAGAAGGTCCAAACATCTCTTTTATCTCCAAACAATTTTAAGAGAAAATATTACCCTGCTTAGAAAATCCTTTCTCACCAACCTTATATCAACTTTGGTACTATGTGGTTGTCCTAGGCTGTTGATTTCAGTGTGTGCGAGTTGCGTGCGTAGCCTGCAGGATGCGTGCCCCAAAGGGAGGCCAGCAATTGTAATTTACGACTGGCGCTTACAAAACGGCGGAGGCTCAGAGGTGGGTGTAGGTGGAGGTGCATGGAAAACTTATGTAAATTACAATCAGAAAACAAAAGACGGGCAAAGTCTGCTGGCTGCTGTTACCCGAAAAGGCAAAACCATGGACTCCCGTACCGCCCCTTGACATACAGCCGTATCCTTATGATCCTTGTGGCGTGCAGCCGAGTGTGCTGATTACTGTCTGGCTGCCCTGCTGCGCTTCCTGCGAGTCCTTATGCGTGTCTGCATTCCTGCGTTTCTCTTACTATATATTCTCGTCTGTAGGTATCGCTTAGACCTCAATGAGAAATACCCTGCAAGTCTTGGTAGGGAAAAGTGCTTCTCGGTGAATCTTTCCATCTTGTCCTTAAAACTTAAATTCTCTTACTTATTTTGTATTGTATTGCTTTTTTAAGTGCATAAATTGTTGATTGGGTCATTGGCTCTGTAGATTAGGTTAAATAATAAAAAATTACGGGCTCTTTAAATATTCAAGCGATTTCCATAATTGCGGTGGTGGCGATGAAGACCAAGACGCCAGAGGCCTCAAGTTAAGAACATCGCCTAGCCGCCACTTAATTATATTTAATAAGCTAAATCGTCGACGTCGCCTGGATCCGGCTTGCATAATTATGCAGCAATTTGCATGTTGCATGTTGCGCTCGCCACAAAAAACAAGGTGGAACTAAACAAAACAAAATGAAAGCCGAACCCAGGGCGCAACAGCCTTTAGGTCTACGGTGAAGGAAAAGTAATCTTTAATTAGAAAATGATTTCCCCAGGCTCAATCCAAAGACAAAAGTCCTGACAAAGTGGATTTCCATGTTTCCTTCGGGGATCAGCCAGCTAAGATGGTCTGGTTTTGGGGGGGGAGCGCCTTTCAGAGTCGGTGGTATTCTTTGGTATTTCGTGTTCAAGGGGCAAAAATGGATTAAGCAGTTGGCTTGTTGGCTATTTGCCTCCAAGTTTCGCCCGGGCTACGGCTCTTTCCGGCTTTGTCCCTGCGGTTTCGGGTAAAGTTTTTCGCGTTCCAGCCGGCATCCCCGGCAAGCCGACCATTAATCACATGGCTAGCTGGGCAAACTGGGCTAAACTCAAAAATAAATACACCTAGAGTTACTTATGGCTTAATAGAACCGCAAACTTTTCAATGCAAGCGCTCAAAGCGGCTTTGGAAAATGCACTTACTCTCCAGTTCGCCTTTTAATTTAACTGAAATATTTTAATTTTTCTTCGGGTTGCTCCCGGTCGTCTTGTTTTTTTGGTTCTTTATATTATTTACTTTGATTTGATTTATTCGAAATTCAATTTACTCTTCGCACTGATTAATCATCCCAGGGCAGCCATTATTTTGATTTATGCGCCGAAACAGAGAGGGCCAAGAAGGAATTTGGCCAAATTGAAATTACGCACTTTTGGGGTTAGCCGCACTGTGACAGTTATAGAATTGTAATTCATCTTGGCTGCGGTTTCTTTCTGTCTCTATCCTTGCCCCTGTCTCTGACTCTTTCGGTTTTCCATTTGTTTTCTCTTTCCCTGGTGTTTGGACACCCCAGCCTCCATCTCTATCTGTCTCTCCCATTTAGGGTTCGTGGTTTGCCAATTTAAATGGAAATATTCATAAAATTGCTGAAAGCACACACTGACAGATCCTGCGGTCTCCTGCAGTTTGTCTTCTAATTGCTTTGACATTTCATTTTCATTTGAAAAGTTTTCAAGAAGGATGCAGCATCGATTAGATTTGGGAAATCCTACTCGAAGTCGAAACTCGGCAAATGAACTCTAGATATTCTTTCCTTTGGGGAAACGATAGGTGGACTCGGGGAGTAATTAAGGACTCGCGTGTGTGCTTGTGTTGGTGCTATTGATTGGGACATTTTGTGATGTTGCCACTCAAATGCATAAATCATTAGAATTATATCAAGCTCTACTAATCGAGATTGAATAAGCCTGTAATTTACAAACAGACAGCCGAGCACACAAGCCCTTATATATGTACCGTATGTGTGTATTTCGATGGCAGCACTTAAAGCCATTTCAGTTTGTTTGTTTTATGAACTTGACTCTGTTGGCCAAGTTAATCGGGTGGTCGGCGGGAGACAAGGATACAGGGCGAGGGAAAGCTTTAAATGTAACAAACACCTCATTGCAAATGTCGTTGTAACTATTACTTTTTGGGAAACAAATACACATTTGTACACGGCATGCACAAAGAAAAATGTTTTCTTTTGTATAAGTTTCATGAAAATTCATTGAAAAACTTCATTTTTTATATAAATAGCTATACATAGGTTATATTCAAATTATACATATTTCAATAATGATATTAAACAAGAGTTTTAATTAGATTTAAACATTATTAGCTTAATTTGTGACCTTACAACGAAAACCCAAAACCTAACTTATTTAGAAATTAAAAAAAAACCATCTTGAGTCTGCAATTTTTTCTCTCGGTGCACCTGTGTGGATTTGGGATCGTTTTAGTGTCGGAGGCATTAGAAGATAACATAAATGTCTTAGTAACATATCCGGTTTTATTGCTCGGTTGCCTTTCCGTTTGTTTGCCTTGGTTTTGGCCGCCTTTGTGGCCTCTGCTAGCCTCCTTGGCTGTGTGTCGTCGCAGTCTGTTGCCACTTTGTCTCATTAAACATTTGAAAAGAGACACACACGCACACACACCACAGACATTAAATCAAATGTGTAACGCAAATGAAGCGTAGTCGGTACATGTAGTCTTTGGTCGTGTGCCAGGAAAACTAATTATACTGTTAAATGCGTTTGTTTAACTGCCAATTTAATTAAGGTTATGCTTTTGTTCTGGCCAATCCCTAATCTGCCAGCTGGGCCGGTACTGGTTGCACCTCCTGGCCTGGCTTTGGCTCTGGCTCCGGCCAAAAATTTGTTCCAGCATTTGTGCAATTACCCAAGTTCCCTCCAAAACTCACCCATGCCGCCGCCCACACGAAAGTTGCGGCAATGCGGTTGCAAGAGTTTAAAGGGCCAAAGGTCGGTGGCGGTTGGCTGGTTGGTGGCAGGCATTTGGCTAAAACGCAACGCGACAGCATGAAAATTATGTAAAATAAGTACAATGTGCATTTGCCATTAGCCGAGCCTGCACAGTGGGGGCCAAAAGTTTTCTCATTTGCGCTAAGTGAATCAAAATATTAGCCACAGATTTCCACATGGCTACCTTTAGGAGGATATTTCATCAAGTGTTTGCTCAAAAGCCAATAAAGGGCTTAAAAGGGCTTACAAGCATTTAACTAGAAGCAACAAATTTAATTATAAAATTGGGAACTCCGCCCAGGAAGAGGCTAAAATTGAATATACCTTTGTGTTTAACAAGCTGAAGAGTTTTCTGTTCATGAATTTTTTTACACTTTCCATTTTTGTATTTTTCCCTACACAGTAGTTGGCTTCCGACCGAGCTGAAATACAAAATACCAAAAAAATTCGGATGACAACAGCAATTACAATTACACATGGCACAGAGCACATGGGACGCAGTGGTCGCAGTTCCCTTTTGTTTTACTGTAGTTGTTGTCCTGTAGTTGTGGTTACGCCAACAGTGAGAATAAAATAAAAGAGCAAGGACCTTTTCGACTATACGATACCTGGTACTTTTGACGCATTAAAGAACTAGTCGAAACATAAATTTATAATTGGTATTTAGTATACAAATTTCTTTAAAATATTTGTTATTTGGTAAACGTTTCTTTCTTTTATAATATAATTATTTATCAATGGCTGTACCACCCCCATGCATATACCATTTCGAGTTGAAAGTTACAGGAGAACAAGCACTTCTTTTACTCATACCTGGTAGGTGGTTACCAAATGAATTATATTTGGAATTTAGTATGGTATTTAATAAAACAGTCTTTAGTTTAAAACCTATTAAAACTTTCTCTTAGTGTCTAACAAAAACATAATACCAATATACCCTTGGGAGTTGAAGAGTACCGGGTAGAACAAGAACTTGCCAGCCCTGAACATCGATGATGACAACGAATATGAACATGTAATTACGCTTTAAGTGCTAAATTGTAAAATATTTACGAAAAAACTATTTTAACTTAATTGAAATTTAATTGAATATGACGTAAAAGTGTGAACACAGGCAAGTGCCGTTGCAGTTGCAGCAGGATATCAGGATATGGAATGCCAACAAACTGGATGGTCAATGCGGTTAGCAGTTGGCCGTCGAGCGGGCAAGGGTCAGGGGCCAGCGAATGCGAAATCCAGAGGTTATGGGCCCAACAGACCCGGCCCAAAACTTGGCTTTTAAATGGTTTTGCCCACAGCCGCGAGGCATTTATCATTCAGTGCGGCCGCTGCCGTTGTATTTGCCACTAATAATGACGTCAGCGGCATGCAGACCATGAAATTTATGCACAGCGGTGGTGTGTGTGTGTGTGATTGGGTGTGTGTTTGGGTATTGGAGTGTTTGTGTGGAGCTGCTCTATATGTGCATATATTCCAGAAGCCAACAGCATTCGACAGAATCAGCCGAAGCATTGGGTCAGTGCCATGAAGATTAATGTCCAGGCGCCATTTGTTGGTGCCGCTGGGCTACAGTTTTTCGGTTTCTTTTATATGCACAGCGAGAAAAGGTTCAAATTATTATTTTATTTAAGAATTTAGTTATTGGAGACTTTATTGTTACTATCATATTATAAATATAAATATTACTCCGCATATGATCCTATTTTTATAATACATTATAACATAATATAAGCTTTTAATTTAAGCTTTCATTTCATTCATAGAAAAGGAACTTACCATAGGATATATGGGAATTATTATTACTTTTAATTATTATTTAGAAATAAAAAAAGGCCTATCTGTTTTGAGAAAAAGCGGCTTAAAGTTGTATTTTTTTCAGGGCAGCTCGGCCCTTGACATTAGAGTTCTATTTCTAATAGTACTAATAGATATTGAGTATTATTCAATAGATATTATACATATATAAATATATGTATAAGCCAGCTATAAATAATAAAATTGGAGAATTTACTTTTCGATTACTTTAATAATTCAAAAACTATTAAGCAATGGAAAGCCTTTGAAACTTGAAACAAGAATTGCACACAATTGGAAAATATGAGTCTGTTTATTTCAGTGCATAGGCTTTTTATTGTACTGGCACAAATAGAAGATGAAAAATCCTCTGGCAAGGATGCTCAGTTCATTCGCTCCTCGTTTTCGTTTGCCTTTCGGGTCCTTTGTTTTATTTGCTGCCCTGTCCTCCTCGACCTTCGAATCGCCCGTTGCTGTAAATACTGTTGGCACTTTGTCTTAATTGCTTAAAAATTACTGACATGGAAAATGAACTCGGAAAATGTTAACCATGCCTCATGCCCCACGCTCCATGCCACATGCCCCATGCCGCACGATTTGGCTGCTGCCCCTAACGACAAATACTTGCAAATATTATTGTAGTCGAATGTCGGCAACTATTTATCATTCCGAGTTCCAGAGTCGGGGATCATTTGACAAACTTAATTTATTAATGCACTCGGGCCGTCCTTTTCGTCCTGGTCGTCCCTGTCGCAGTCATCCCGGTTGTCCTGGCCTGATGCTTGCTTAAAAGCACATTAATTTTCATTTCACTTGGCGATAAAACAAAGACTTTCCATTTTAAATATCTAGTGACAACTAACAAATAAAATGTGCCCCCAAGTCGGCTCTGGGGCTCCGGGGTAATTGTTTTCCCTTGCCCGTGGCAGGTCCTTTCGAGTCCTTGGAGATATGTATAAGCCGGACTGGAGCTCTTATCATGAGGATGACGATGATGTGCCATTCGAAGGAATCATCATCGCTGTCATGCCTCGTCATTTGCATACTTCCCGCCAGAAATGGAATTGAATGAAATGGAAATGCCTTCGCATTGCTTCATTTCTCAAATTACAATCATAATATGAAGTAGGACTTTCCGTGCCTGGGTGGGTCCTTTCTATTTTTGTGGCTCGGGAGTCCAGCTGACAGGCGAGTGGCACTCGTGAGGTGGCAACAGATAGGGAAGAATGTTAAGGCCCCGGCTTCACGCTGATTGATATGCATGCGAAATCTAAGCATCACTTGGCTTTGTTTATTGACAGGCAATTTGCGGAGCCAGCGTTTCAATTTTCCATTTGACAGCCACATCACACGACGGCATCACTGCCTCCTGGTCTATCTCCACCCTCAAATAGTTGTCTTTCCTCTATGTGGCAATTTTCAAAATCCCCAATTTCGTGGCATTTCTCTAAAAACTCTCCATGTCATACGGCGGTTGACTTGATATTTTTCAAACTCGCACGTTCGAATGCATTAATTAGAACCAAAAACAAATAAAAATTTAGCTCTTTTCACAGATACACAGTAACAAAGACTAACAGGGACTATTGAATATAATAGTATATGTTTTCTATCTAGCCTCAAAAGAAAAAAAAATATATTTTTTTAATTAAATCTTAATCGATGTAGCCCTATATAGCTTATAATTTTCTTCCTTAAGTTCCTAATTTTCAGTTAAAAACAAATATTTCTCTCAGCGTGCCATGGCAGTGCAGTTTTAATGGGCATACACCCGCATATTGCGTATACGCCGTGCTGTGCAGCGACAAAGAAAACGATTTGCATTATTTATGGAACGGATGGCCGGATGGTCTCGCCTGGTCGGTCGTTGTGTCGTTGGGTCGTTCGGTCGGTTCTAATTGAAACCGCGAAATAATTGGCCCGCATCGACCTGCAGCTTAGCCAATTAATGCTGCCATATAATTTCAGCTCATCCGGGAATTGGCCAACGGCAGTTAGCAGTTGGAAACTCGAATCGCGTTTTGGGTCACAGTTCCTAATAAAATGAAATTACCCGGTCAAGTGCAGCAAACATTTTGGGAAATTACAATGCGACCGAAGGGCATTCGAGTGTTCATTAAAGCCACAACAGGCGGGAAAAGTGTCACGAGCATTCTGGGTTGGCGTTGCATTACGTATACGCCATGCAGGCCCCACAGCCCATGCAGGCAGATTGGAAAATTGCACCAATCTTGCAGCTAAGTGGCCATAAAACTGCTAGCCAGGGGCAAATATATTTCCCGCCCATGGTCTCGGTGCTCAGTGTTCGATGCTCGCCAAAGCATTGTCGTTGGCGGAAAGTGCACGAAAATTAGCTGGCATTGGATGCTTGACAATAAAATTGACATTCAGTTCGACAACTAGTTCGCTGCCAATACCCCCTTACCACGGCCCTCGCTCCTTCCAAGTGAATAATGCAATTCGTTTTTCATTGCCCGCTCTACCCGCCACGCTCACTGCGCCTTTGTTGTTTGCCGTTTTGCGTTCTGTTTTTTAATCGATTGATTGAAATGTTTGCTGCAAATTGATTGATGGCATGCAGCCAGCCATTTCCCATGTCCCTCGCAGGGTGGCCCATATGCCATGGCTCGGAGAATATATGTGTGTGGATTCAAAATTGATATAGCCATCAGCAGACACTCGGTTGAGCTGAGTTCCGGGGGCTGGGTCGAGTGGTGGAAACAAACCGCACCAGAGTCTGTGAACTAGAAGGGTATTCGAAACATCTCCTTCCGATTACAGGGCATTTCCCAGTCTATTTCTGCGGGGTGTTTACAAGATGTTTGCCTGCGCCTGAGCTCCCGTTCTTTTTCAAACCTTACTGGATTTGTTGGGAGATTTGACATGTTAAAAACTTGATTGATTGATTCGCTTAGCCAGACACATTCCTAAACACATATCTGTACTGGAGGGGAATGGTCTCGGTTGGATTTGTCTTACACGCCACTTACAAGCCAAGCTCTGGGGGCAATTTATCAAGCTCCTGGATGGGCGGGGGACTCTAAGTAATTACTTACCGATCCATGGCAATGGCCACCAAATGCAAAATCGAGGCCGTGCAGCAGAGGACGTCGCAGGAGGTCCAAATATCGCACAGTTCCGGGCCAAGTATCCAGCCTTGGCTGATCTGTGGGCATTAAAAATGTGGGAAAAAGAGGGAAGAGAGGGGTGTGGCCATAAAGTTGGTTAGTCAAATAGACAATAAAAGTTGATGCTTCCGCCCCAGCGGCAGTCCAAAAGTGTAGAGTGTTGAGTGTCGAGTGTAAAATGTAATGGCTTCTAATAACAAAGCAAACAAGGATTGCAGGATTTCAGGGCCTTATAAGGGTCGATTTTGGCCAAAAGGGTCACAGTGAAAGGCCAGACCATGTGGGGTCGTCTCTACCTAGTAAGCTTTCTCCTGCTCGGCCTCGTGGCGAAAAGCCAAATGAGCATCCAAGCGCCAGTCGAAAGTGACGAATTTTTCAACAAACCTATTCAACACCTTCTGGGAGTGGCACGCGGATCAATGAGGTCCTTTGGATTTCAAAATTTCGTCGTCTATTCGGATTTTCCCCACATAAAACCTTCAGTTCAACAGCGACTAATGGAAGTCACGAATAAATCCGTCTTTTCGGTGACAGACTCCTTTGTGGGATCATCAAACGATCAATACAAATACGGGGTAAACGTGGTCATCGTTTTATTCACCAATGTGAATGATCGCATAATGAGTTCGGTTGAACACAACGAACGTTGGAACATAGTCCGGAAAGTTTTCTTCTTTCTATATATTCCGCCGGCCGGGGAGGTGATTCCTTCGATTAACGACACCATCCGAGATGTCTTCAAGTTTTGTTGGGCCCGACGCTTCGACATGATGTTCCTTCTGTTCCAAGGACAAATCTGGGCGTTCGAACATTTTCGGAACATGACTTATGGCAGATTGCCTCCTAAATTTTTCTATATTGATTATTACCGCAGCCTAAATATGAAGTTTCTCGTGCAGGTGATCCCAGATCCTCCTATGAGCTTCTGGGTAGGTTTATTCTCACTTTAAATTTTCACACTTGGCTAACAACTTATCTTTTTCAGTCGAACTCTACGGAGCAGTCAACAGTGACCGGCGGTGCAAACATCAGTCTCCACGGCCCGATTGGCCTTTTGGTGGTGGAATTTATAAAAAATATGAACGCCACCATGGAGATACAGCCTATTGACCATAAGCCTAGCTTGCAGTACTGGATCAATCAGGAATCAATCAGGGATAGAAACGTGGACTTGGTAGCCAATCTGGTGTTTTATAACACCTCGATAGACCATTCGGTGATGATGGACTCACAGATTTGCCTTTTGCTTCCCAGATACAGGCTGATATCCCCCTTTTTATATATGTCTGTAACCTGGAAAAATCAAGTCCATATTTGCATAATTTTGTTGATATTCTGTGTCATTTTTATCAAATATTTCGCTTACCATCCCCGTAACCTATTTCATGCCATTTTAAGTACCATCCGGTTCTATTTAAGTATTCCGGTACCAACCGCAGAAGTACGCCGATTGGTTTTGGCGGATAGATTCCTACACTTGTTCTCCTCCTTCGGGATGTCACTCTTTTACGGAATATCCCTCAGCCTTCTTGCCACCAAGTTTACCACAGGAATCTTTTATCCCCTCATCACGGACGTGCAATCATTTCAGGACAGTGGCCTCCGTATCATGACGGAAGATCCTGCCGTTCTGAAGCTTTTCGAGGAGGATCAGTTGCCCAGATCCCTAAAGAACAAGGTGACCTTCGTGGACATAGACACTCTGGGTGACCACTTTTTAAACCTCAACGATAGCCTTGCCTATGTGGTCAAGTCGACGACTTGGGCTGGCATTCAAATGTACCAGGAACGCCTGAAGAGGCCACGTCTTTGGATAGCCGACGATAATCTGTGCTCGAGGCCCCGCAGTCTCAGGGTACCCATTTACCCCCAGTCCCCGATTGCGAAACTCTTCCCAGAGTTTTACATGCGGGTCTTTGAATCGGGCTTGATCCAAAAGTGGTACAGAATGGGTTTCAGTAAGTACCGGGAGCTATCTGGATTATACAAATTACCCACAGACCCTGAAATATACCGTCCCTTGACCATGGAATTTTATAGAAATTATATGTTGATCTATATTTGTGGCATGAGTTTGGCGACCCTGGTATTTGTAATCGAGCTGATCTACCACCGATTCAGGACCATGAATAACTGAAGGAATTTTATCTTGGAACTTTTTTTTGATCTATCTTAGTCTTTAGATGCTTAAATTTTATTAATTAAACTCGTGTTAGGTGTTTGTGTAATTGAATTTTGAATAATAAATACTGCACTGCTTGGGCTTTGTATTATGGCACCGTACTCACCTCGTAAACGGCTCCCAGGGGCATCACCAAACAGGCCACGAACAGATCGGCTACCGCCAGAGAGGCCACCAAGTAGTTGGCCACGTTTTGCAGATTCCGTTCCAGGATAATTGCCGCGATGACAAAGACATTGCCTGCAAAGAAGGACAGAACCAACAAAAGCTACAATTAGACTTTGAACTTGTTCGAGACTGTGGGTAACATAGAGCTTTCAGCGGTCTAATTGCGAAAATTGACTGGAGACCGAAAAGTTTTGAATCGAATTAAGAGCTGCAAGTCGAATTCGGGCTTCAGTTGATGACTGAAAGCGAAAACTGAAAACTGGAAATCGGAAACTAGGAACATGAACTCGAGAGCCCAAAACCTAAAACCGAAGACCGAAAACCGCAGCGAAACAGATAAAGTTTCCGGGAATTGGCAAACTACTTTGGACACCAGACACCCGTGGCCCCCAAATGAAATGGGAATCTTATTAAGCTTGCCTCCCGACACTGCACTGTTGCAATGCCACTTGCATCGCAATATCCTTGCGCCTCGCCTTCCTCGTCCTTTCACTGGGACTTCAAACAAAGACAAAGTTCACAAAAGCCAAAATAAACGACATGAGCTAATCGCGCTGTCGTAAACTTTGGCAAAAGCCCCAGATCTGGATTGCAGCTCGGGAGGATTGGACAGGTGGGGGTGAGAAATTGACGTGGGACCGTGGTGGTTTTCGGGGACTCGACCACCTTTGATGTCTGCCGGGGCACTTATTTTTGCTCGACTTTCCCTCTGCATACTTTCACCGCGCATTCCATGTACTTGCCGCCTCCTCATGCCACCTCCCACCGCCCACTGTCACCGACTACTTGTGGCACACTTGAGGCAGCAAAAGAAAGCCAGCCACTACAGGTGCGAGACATGCAATTTGTGGCATTGAATCAGCCGACAGGTGACGGCAGGAGTCATGCCACACAGCTACACAGCCACTTCCCCTCAGAGATGCACAAACACAGTGCCACACTGACACACTGACACCCGGGGCACATGCAATTAGATACTTGAGTGTCAAAGTGAAGGCGGGCAGACAAGCCTCATGCCTGCCAGCTGTTTGCGTTTTTTTTGCCTGGCAGTGTCCTCTCAGCGGGGGTGGCTTTAGAAATTCCCACAAGCTAAGAAAGTTGGCTCTAATAATTGGCTTATCGAATCATAGAACTCAAGTCAAATCCTTGAAAAAGCAATTAGGATTCATGTATTTTTTAAATTCTTAAATCCCCTCTTCAAACCAAAGGCTAAGATATTATGGCCGAATTACATCGAAGTAGGTCACAAATGCCGTCTTTTAAATTCGCATTCAATGATTCCTACTGACCCTCTGCCGCGTCCTTTTTTGGACGCAGGACGAAAGCGTGAAACAATCTAGCTAAAATTAGCATTAAAACTCATTAGCATTTTCTTTTTAAATGCTAAATGCTGCTGCCGTCCCACTTGGCCGGCGACGAAAACTGAAAAAGTTCAAAAGCGAGGCTAGAAGAAAAGAAAACTATGTGGGTGAATAGAGGGGGCGGAGAGGGGCTAAAGACGAGGGGCGGAGAAGGAAAAGCCAGCGGAAGAGGAAAAACTAAATAAACACAAATTAGTCGAAAATCAAAATGAAAACAAGCAGGACCAGAGGAGAGACGGGCCGAATAAAGCGAGACATGTGAATGGCTTTCTGGATCCTTGTGGAAGTGACGTTGAAAATCGTAGCATACTTTTCAGCGCTCGTTATTTTTATTTGCCTCCTGACTTTTGTGCGCTGCCGTTTTAAGCGAAATGAAATGAAATGAAATCTACTTAAATTAATGAAATCAATTTCAGCTGACTGCCCGCCTACTTATTTGCCTCACTCCCAGCTTCCTGCCCCCCCAAAAACCCCATCCCGGGACCCCATTTTCATTTGTTACTCCGCTTGATTTTTATATATTTTGTTTTCCGGATTTTACAACGTGAACATAAAGTTTTGCTTTGGAATTGAGAATTGCGAAATGAGAACTGGAAAGCGGAGCGGGGCTGGATGATGGTGATGGTTGGTTTGGATTGGGGCAGCGTGATTGATTGATTGACTGTCAATTTTAATGCGGCGTGTCCTTGCCTAGATGGATGCCAGTTTGTTTGCCATCGGATTTATGGCTAAATGCGTGTAATGAATGTTGCCAACAACAATACCGTCCTGCGTCCCGTTCCCATTCCCATTCCCATTTCCAGTTTCGTTCCTCGTCATTGAGCTGCCTTATTAATAACTGAGACTGAGACTGAGCTGATGCCAGTGGTGCTGCTTCAGCATCTGCTCCTGCAGCCTCCTGAGCCGTAATAACAACAATAATAAATAATATAAAATGCTCTGCTCCGCCAGTATCATAAATATCAGTTACGCGTATTTTATTATCTACAACTGGAAGCCAAGGCCCCTCCAAGTCTTAGGCCCGCCTTCCCCGGTTCCCTCGCCCCCTCGTCCTTATTGAATTGTTTGCCGTTTTCCCCAAGGATTTGGAGGCAACCAAGAGGCGCGTGCCTGAGACTGGCATTCGAGGAATTTATTTTGGGTGGCATGGGGCTGTGCTGGGACTGCCAGTGAAATAATTATGTCTATGTTTGGGCTTTGGCTTACACTCAGAGTTGATTTCTTTTGTTTATTATTTCCTAACCTATTTTATTTTTGAAACTCGACTAATTTCTTCAAGTTCAGACTTCTTCAGTATTCGGTCGAGTACTTACCAATTATGGTAACCAGTATCATCAGTCCCAGCAGCACCGAAGTTACGGCCATTCGCAGCAGCTCTGTGAAGTCGTCCTCGGCTACTTTACTGGTGGTCACGTTGATCCCCGCACTGCCGTTGCCCAGGTCCAGAGGACCGCTGCGGTTGAGCATCATTTCGCCGAAAAGACTGGAGTCGTTGCCCTCCAGGAGCAGGGTGTCGTTGAGCAGCATGGCCCCCAGTCCGACGGCCACGTTGGTGTAGTTATTGTCCATGTCGATGAGCTGAAGGACCGGGGGCGTCGACGATGCCGCCGGCTGGTCCGTCTTGGTGGTCAGTGCCCGGTGCGCTGCCTTGGCCGTTATCCTGGCGGCGGCGGCTGCCACTGAGGCACTTGCGGCAGCAGCGGCCAAGGCGGCAGTGGCCAGGGGAGATCCTGCGGCGGCGGTACCGTTCGCATCGGTGGGCGGGGTGGGAGGTTTCACGGCCAAGGAGCTGGCAAACTTCTGACGCCGCTTCCCAGAACTATAGTTTTTGTTTTTTCTTTTGTTGTTGTGGTTGTGGTTGCTATTGTTGCTGTTGTTGTTGCGATCTCCCTCCCCGGTCTGATACTGGCCCGACATCTCGTCCTCCAGCTGGTCATCGTCCAGCTCCGCCTCCTGCTCCTGTAGATCGGAGCTCTGTAGTTCGGGATGCGGCTCGGCTATCAGAAAGGCCCTTTCATTAACGCTGTTCGCGATGTAGATATAGTCCAGGGCATCTAGAGCGGGAAAATGAAGAAAATTGGTAGTGGAAAATAGTGTAAAATAATTAGAGACAACGCGAACAAATTGGCTTAATTAAATGTCGTTAAACTTAAATGAGGAAACAGAGGAATTAATAATAAATCAGGTTCAGTTTGCGTTAAACTATAAGTTTTATAAACTATTAATCCAAATAAACTTCTAAAAACCCAAAAAAAAAAAGAAATAAAGTAACTTTCAGCTTAAAAACGTATAAATTATTTTAAAATGTGATTAAGCTGGCAGTTATTGTTTGTTACCCACCATTAAAGCTGGTCTTGTGAGCCATTTTGAGGATTTTCCAGCTGTTTTTTGGGGTGCTTTGCTCCGCTTAATTGCAGCCGCAGCGGAAATGAGGATTAGACGGAAACGGAAACGCGACTATGCAACGGTGGCAGTGGCACTGGCACTGGCAATGGCAATGGCCTGCTTTTGCTTTTGCTGTTCTAGTTGTTGGAGGCGGTGGGGGTGCCGGTGACGGTGCTGGTGGTGGTGCTCGTGTGTGCCTGTAGTGTAGGTGGGTGGGCTCTCAAGGTGGTGGTGGTGCTGATCCTGCTGGTGCGGGTGATGATGGCCACTCAGACAGGCGGGGCGGCACATGGTGACACAGGGATACGCCACTTCCCCGCCGAGTCGCACTTTCCTCTCTGTTTTTTTTTGTGTGCAGGCGTGTGCTTGGTGCCGGGCAGGATGTATTATCCTAACGAGCTTTCAAGTGTTTACATGGAGCGTTTACAATTTCGGCTTTCGGCTTTTGGCTTTCACTTTTCTTTCTTTCCGACTTCCTGCGCTCTCTCCCGTTGTTGTCCTTATTTTCCTTTATTTTTTAGAATTTCTTGTGGCAGTGTTGCTTTTGTGCTGTTGATTGTTGCCAACTGCTTTTGTTGCTACTGTTGCTGTTGCTGATTCTGTTTCTGTTTTTGGTGTTGTTGCTGTTTTGTACTCTTTTTTTGGTTTACTTAAGCTCTTCCGTTTGCCGTCGTGTGTTTATGGCCCATTTGATTGGCTATTTTCATATCCTTGGAGTTGATTTCGCATCCGATTGCTGTCGTTTGGGGCGCCGACGCATTCTGCAATAAAAATTCAATTAGTCAATAAATATTCGCTTAAAATAATGTTTTTAAGCAGAAAATTGAATTTGCAAGGTGGGTGGGTGTGAAAATAGGTGGGTGTGTCTCTCTCATAAGATATATGACCCCGCCACCGTTGTGTGTTTTCGGTGGAAAATAATTTCCTGTGGGTTTTCGAAATATTTTCCTGCAAAATTTATTGTATTCAATTTCCTTTCACATTGTGCGTAAAGTGTAAATGAATTTGAAATGCTGCTGCCACTGCCACTGCCACTGCTCTTCCGCTTTTTCCCCAAACGCCCTCGTCCTTCGTCCTTCGCCCTTCGTCCGCTTGTTAAATAATTTAACGCAATTTCTGCAATTACACAGAATCACTTGGCACGATAAATAAATATGAAGACTGGCAAGCCAAGCGTTGTTTTCCTTTCTTTTCCATGTTTTTTTTCCTTGCTCCAGGCTTGCCACACACACACTCACATGCATAGGCTTGCATGTACACAAAGGATATGTGTACGCTCATGTGTTGGAGTGTGCGAGTGTCTGTGGCTGGCGGAAGTTTTGCGTGCGTGCGACAGGCGCCATTGCCAGCGGCTCCTTTGCCTCCTCCTGCCGCTGCCACCCCTACCAGCCCTCGTCCTTTTCCCAATGTTGCGACAGCGCCAGCAAAATAAATTTAAAACGCATAAAAAAAAGCAAAATAAGCAAAATACCCTAAGCGAGGAGCCGGCTTTGCAGAATGTCATCACGTGTGCAAGAAGCAAACAATCAGGGTCAAGAAACTAGTCATTTTTTGAGTAGAAATTAGTGGAAAAAAACTAAAATATGTGAATCTATCAGATCGATCAGCATATCTCATAAACTGCTTTAAATAAATGCTCTTTATTTGTTTGTTTTCCCTAACAAATTCATGAATAATATTTGAGAAGCCGAAGAAAATATAATGATTGCATAATTATTTGGAAATTTGCCTTAAAAAGGTTGATATTTTAAAATATGTATTACATATGTGCATATATTGTAAATACTTTGAGTGGAAAATTCAAAAGCTTAATTGCCCTTTTAGTAAATTGTATAATTAAGAATCAATTCATTTATTCATGGAGTTGTTCTGAATAAAATGACATTCATTTGAGGTTTATCATGGAAATAGAATTATTTTATTATATTTGTCATTAAAGAAAATTAAATAGTTTCCTTTCTAGTCATATATTATATATATTTTTAAAATCTTTTGAAAGACCGTAGTATCCTTTCATGTTCACGAATGTGCGTGTGGTTGGCTTGCATGTGTAGTACACACTGCGGTGCCATAAAACCCAAAAGCGAGAATGTTGCATGTTTAATGCCCGGCAAGTTTACATTCTAGGCTAGCGGATGGCATTCTACTATATAAAGTACATATATGGATATGGGCAACTTGCTGATATGATTTGTAGTGGTCTTACGGCGGAACCAAGTCGCATAGATAAGGAAAGGATCTGGCAGTATCCAAGCGGTCTCTGAAATTTTGAGATAGTGCCTGGTACTTAAGAGAAAGTCTTTAGTTCCACAAAGTAAGGAGTATTATTAGATGAAATTGTAAAACGCCTAAGAGTCCTTATTACGTTGCTGGCTGGCATGCATTAAAGGAGCACACGTTGGCATTTCGTTGCAAGTTTCCAAGTTGCACCAAGGCAACCTTCAAATGCCATCCTGTGTGCCAGGTTGTGTGTCTGTGGAGTGGGTTGGCCATGTAACTAACGTTTTCAAGTTCAAAGTCGATTTAATGCGGAAGTTTATGCCAGCCAGCCACCAGCGCTGAAGGTAACCACAGTCGACATTCCCAACTACGAACAAAGTTATAAATTAAGTTTACGCATGGAAGTGGGGGCACTATTACTAATTTAAGGTTTCTTTGCCTAAAGCTCTTTAAATTTCAGTGAAGTGATTGTTTAATTATTCATTTGTTGAAAAAAAAAATGGTTCGCTCTAGGGAAGTATCATTGTACTGAAGGACTTTGGCAGCAGGAGAGGAGCTCAGAGTGAACTGGGAACTGGGAACGTGTGCTGGGCTCGTTTGAAGTGCAGTTGAGTGTGAAGACGACACATGTCGCTTAAATGCACACACCCAGCCGCACCTGCCCATGTCCTTGCCCCTTGCCGCCCACCCGCTCTGCCCCTTGCCCTTCTGGTCTATTTCGTAGTGGCGAGTGCACTTGTTGCGGCTCGCAACTTGTCCTGCAGCAGCCTGCATATATTATGCAAGTGTATGCCAACTGTTTTTGTATCTATGTGAGGCCTCTCCACAGTCTATGTGTGTGTGTATGGGAATGTCACTTGCTTTTTATAGTCGAGCTTATCGCATATTTATGCAGTGTGTCCTTTGAAGCAGCGGCCCAGGACGCACACGGCTATAAATCAACTTTGGTTCACCGCACTCTGCTCTTGGCCATTTCTGTCCACCACCCACTGCAGCCCCCAACTGGTCCCCATTCATTCCAATTCGCAGCCGCATCGCAGCAATTACGAAAATTGCCTATCTATGCAATAGTTTTGGTGTGGAATAGTGGCCCCTTTTTATTTTCCTGCTTGTTTACCCTCAAAAGTCATAAATCAAGTAAATAACTAAAAAGAGGGTCGTAATTGTAACTGTAGGAACGTGAAAACTATGAAAAATTATTCAGTATTAACTGGAAAATGGTTGTGTTTCGAGGACTTTCTTTTAGTCTTTATAATTATATACTAGTTTTTGGAAAAAAAAGTCCAAAATTTCCTTAAGGTCTTTATTATTCAAATATGGTTATGGTTATAAAATGGTTATCGATACATCGCATATTCATGGTCCTGATGGCTTCTGTTTCTGGACTGCCTCTGGTTTCGGGCGGAAGCTTTCGCCGGACCATGAATTGCAAACATAATGAATTATGAAAAATCCCTCAACATTTAAAAAAATAACCGGTTTTCAAACATATTTTGCAATGAAGTAAAGACATAAATTATAAACATTAATGATCTCGATAATGGTTGTCAGAAAGTCTTATTTTTTTCTATTTTTTATGAAGTTAAATTGTTTTATTTTTTTGAATTGTTCAATTGTTTGTCAAACGCGTAAAACTAATAATTTTAATGACACAATAAAGAGTATCGATATTTGAAAGATTAGTATACGAACAATTATTTGGTAGCCCTAGTTTTTGGGACAAACTTAGAAATCCTGAAAGTTTCGTTTTTCGAGAAATGATCAACACTGAAACACTTTCGTTTCGTATATAAGAGGAGTCCGGGCCAGTACTACTGGGTCAGTCTGATTCAAGTCTCTATCAGACTATCTAACTAAAACAACTAGGGAGGATTTTAATATTGTTTTTAATATTATTTTATTTTCCTTTTTTATTTTTCCGGTCTATTTCATTCTTCTATATTAACTTTTTTTTTTATTTTTTTCATCCATGTATTTGAATCATCGGAGTTATAACTGTCATAGAGTTTTTTCCCCTTATTGTTTTATAACGCCCAGCATTAGGGCATTTGTTTTTTTTAATCTTTTTTAAGTTATTATTAATACATTTTTTGAGCTTTTAATACTTCTTACCAAAGTCTTACTAGTAATATCTTACAAGGTATTTTATTTCTTTGTCGATTTTTAATTATAATTATAATTATAATAACTATTTTAGCCTTGAAAAGGCCACCTTGCAATTGTACATACATAGGTGGTACAAAACTTCCAGTCTCTATTTATTGAAGTGTTAAAATCATTGAGAATTTTATTAAACTTTGCTTGTAAGTTGAAAATATCTATGTTGCGTGTTAAAGGGTTTACATGAAAGTTAAAGTAACTGTGGAGGAATTTTAAATCTGATGAAATTAAATCTATTAAAAAAACTTCTATGGATTGGTTACATTTTTTTTTGATTATTTATGTATACTTGATTATTTATACTATTTATACTTTATTATTTTTATACATATTATTTTAATTTTGGTTCAGTTTTTAAATATAAAAATGTTTTTTTTTAATAAAAAAGAGATATTTTATGAATCATCTGATGTTTTTTTTATGAAATAATCTGATTTTATTATTCTTATAATGATCGAGCTTTTAAGTAATATGTAATTATTTTATTTAGTAATTATGTAGTTATTGGAACTGCTTGTATTTAAATAAAATATAAATTTCAATCAAAACAGCATCCAGGTCTCTAACCTGCCGCTCAAAGCTTGTCAGCCCCACCACCGAGAGCATAGATGACACAATTGTATCGCTGTCTTTGTATCCTTTTACGGGCTTACGTGCCCGAGCTTGTG